ATAAAAATTATCTCAATCCATCCACTTATTCCAAAAAAAAATCTTCATGTTATTCAAAAGTATTTAAATCCACACATCGAACCTCACCCATCCACAAAACCTCCAAAAACAGCACATATTACATTACATTTAATCTACAGGAAGCAACACCTCATCAGCTCATCTCACAAATCAGTCAAAATGACGTTAAATTCGTAGGCGAAAAAGTCCTCGCCTCATATTCAGTTCTCTATAATCCCATAAGCACAACACGAGGAATTAGTTGGATTTATGATGCGATTAGATTTCAAATTTAAAATGTCACATAGATCACATTAGGAATAAATTGAATAAGACGAAGAATTTATTGAGGCTCAGTGGTGGAGATGAATGGAGAGGCTTGTTTATGGAAGTTATGTGCGTACAATTGGGGTTTGGTTGTGTAGAGTGACCATAATGTTAGATAAAGTCATAATATTTTAGATAAATGAAAGAGAAACTTGGTTAGCTTGAAGTTGGAGGGTGTGAGGAGGTAAATTAATCACTTTGGCGATAAAGAAACATTTTTAAGCTTATATTGGAGATCTACAATAGTTGAGCATGCTTAATCCAGCTAAATAATCCTCAAAACCGAAGAAATGCGTTTTATACACTCACTCAAGTGCCTTTCATACTTGACACTTTTACAAATAGAAACAAAAAAATACATTGAATCGGATTTCAGCTTTGCCCATCCCAAAAAAAAAATCTTTATACTTTTATTTATTTCAACATCTTTTTAATTCAAAAAACACTTTTTTTTCTTCTATTTTTTAGAGTCCTCACGAAATAAATAAAGAAATGAGAGAACGAAATTATGAAATACACGAGAAAATAAAGTGAGAGAATTTGACACATCTGAAAATGTTTTATGATGTCTTAAAAATTTATTTTGTCACATTTTTAACGTTACTTCTTGTAGATTTAATGTTGTATTTTTTGTAGTGGGATTTTATTTATGTTTGTTATTTTGACTACTTTGTTGGTTTCTGGGGGGTCGAGGACGATGATTTGTGAAAAGTGATGTAAATTAAAGCAAACTTTGTAGTTTAGGACGTAAAATTGAAACTGATAACGAGAAAAAATTGTTATTTTAATGCAATCAAAAAAAACTTAATTTCAAGATGACTGAATTTTTTTCTCCACCTCGAAAAGTATTTTTGAGATTTCTCGGGATAGGAATTGAATTTTAATACAATTTATGAAGCAGTGGATAGAAAAAAGTTGCAAAGATTGAATAAAATACTATTTTTACTAGAAAACTAGTGATCGTCCCCGTCAAGTATGACAAAGTCGTTTATGATGTCCGCCATTTTGATTTTTTTTGGTGAAATTTAATCGATTTTTACCGGCTTTTTTGAATTATTTCTGAATTATAATCAAATTGAGAAGTTGATTATTTTGTTGATCCTGTAAACTCAATATAACCACAACATGTCACCTAAATCAAGCTGTATAAGCCTCATTACCATTCAAAACTGCACCCAATCCTCACACCCTCAACCATTAAATCACAATCAAGATTTACCCAATTTTTAACAAAATAAATATCTCAATAAATCCCCATCAAAAAATAAAGTCTTCATTCATCTCGTCACATTACATCAGCATCATTCACAAAACAAAATAAAGTCAACAGAAAAAAAAATTCACGGAGGTAAACAGACAAAAAAGAGATCCAACTGTACACATTATAAAATTGACATCAAATTCTCATCAACATTCATTAAAACAGATTTTATTTATGCATTTTGAATAAGTCTTTTTTTTGCGCGCCCAACCTCGATTTTTTTTTAAAAAAAAAAGTCATTTCATCATTTTAAAATATTTTGCTGAATGAAAGTCGATTCAAAAGAGGAGAAAAAAATTTATTAAGACCATAAAAAAGCGATGGACAAGGTAAAAATGATGATTTTAATGTCTCAATCGCGAGAGTCTTTGCCGCTCTCCAAAAAAAAATTATATTCAATTTCTAATTAAAAAGATCTTCAAAAGCGATCTGCATGATGATTATTATAGTATTTTGCCCCAGACATTATCTATACGTGAGTGAGTGTGTGTCTACGTGTGTGTAACAAGAAAAATAAGATAATAAACGCACAAATGAAGATTGTCGGCGTCGGCAGCAGCCTGAAGAGCATCAAACATCAATTTGCGATGCGATCGTTAATATCTTAATTATACTTTAACAATTTTTATTCCATCGTTATCTGGTTTTGTAGAGGATGTGAGTGGCTATTGAAGAGGGGGTTTGGGTTGTGTGGCTTAAGCGTTGTTCATAGACAGTTCAGGAGAGTTTTGGATAGTTTTTAGGAACTTTGGAGAAGGAACCCACCGTTGGTTGTGATCCCTAACCTCAACCACACCCCTTAGCTTCGTTATTGGATAGAATCAACTATAAATGACTTGTAAGGATGCTCCTGGAGGACATTGAGTATAATTTAGTGTTAAATGAGTACCAAAACTGAATATGGAAGTTTGAGGTTATGTCAAAATAGGGTCCAACAGAGATGCACACACCTTAGTACGAGCAATACAGTTAGAATTCCAAAACAACAGCTTCTGTATTCGATTTTATGTTCCTTATTGCAAGAATGTGACACACATTTGCTCATTAACTGTATCTGTCGTAAAACATTACTCAAATCGGCTTAAGTCTATACATTCCAACGAAAATCAGCCACAGTTGCTTACAATACTCTATAAACTTGCCAATAAGCCCCTTCAATCACCCCAGTTTGCCCTTCATCTCTACAACAATCTCATTTAATCAATCCCACTCAGCACATTAATTAACTTAATTTAAATTAAATTAAACCAAATTAATTACAGCCTCAAATGCGCCATTGATTCCTTGTGTGTGGATTTATGTTTTTAGAAAGCAATTTTCGGATCATTAAAATTTAAACGCACACAAATTTGATTTGATTTTTTGTCGGAATTGAAAAGTAGAAGAAAAAAAAATTGGAGCTGAAAAGCAAGCAAAAAAATAAGGCATTCAAAGGAAGGGGAAATTATTGCGTCATTAAAACAAATTGTGGCTGGCGCTTAAATTCTCCGGCATTAAGTCGATATCCTCTCTCTGTCTCATGATCTCTCCCTCTCACTCGCTCATCGCTGCCTCATTTTTTTTTTAATAATGAATATTTTTTTTTTGTTTTTATTATTTTACCACACAACAGCTACGAACGACGACGACTATACGAGTTCTGATGCTGATTGCGGAAATTTTTTTCTTCTCTTCTCTTTTAGACATTCGATTGAAACGGCTCATGGGTGGTCCAACTGAACGAATGTTGAAGTTTTTTTTCTTACTTTTTAGTTGTTTTTTTTTCTTTTTCATTTCTTGTGAGTCGTTTTGGTAGATTTTTGCATGTTTGCTGTCTGTCAAAGGACACATAGTTCTTTTGAGGGGGGTTGGGGGGGTTTGTGCAGGTTTTGAGAGTTGAGAAAGGTGTCAAGAGGTGCCACTAGTGATTTTCTCAAGTTTTGAGGTTAAAATTTTAATTTTCGCTTATTTTGAGGTAAGAATCTCAAATTTCTCAAGTGTTGGGGTTAGAACCTGAATTTTCCAAATTTTTGAGGTTAGAATCTCAATTTTATCTCGTTTTGAGGTTAGAATCTCAACTTTCTCAATTTTTGAGGTTAGAAAATCAAATTTCACTCAATTTTGAGGTTAGAATCTCAATTTTCTCACGTTTTGAGGTTAGAATCTTATAATTCCCACGTTTTGAGGTTAGAATCTTATAATTCTCACGTTTTGATGTTAGATTCTCAATTTTCTCAATTTTAAAGGTTTGAAAATCAAATTTTACCTAATTTTGAGGTTACAATCCAAACTTTTGAGGTTAAGTTCTCCTCATTAAAAAATCCAATTAACATTTCAGTACCAATTTCCAATTAAAATGCATTTCTCTACACATATTTTAATGATTTTTATGAATTCATACCGATCAGTTGACTATAAATTAGTAAGAAAAAGTCTGCTTGCAGCAAAAAAACAGCTAATGCGACTTTTAAGTGCCTCTAAATTGTAATTAATGAACATAAAATGCAGATGATGACTTTAATATTGACAATAAAATATTATCAAAATTATTAAGAATCTAAATTATGACATTCAAGGGGGTACAGCATCAGCAGAGGTACAAAATCTCAGAATTCATCCAGCCAAAAAATTAGCAAATTCATAAATTTTATGTACCCATAAATCTCCAGCAGCTCAAGCCATCAAAACAAATATTTTTTCCTCGTCTCGAGAACAAAAGAAAGGAACAAAAAAATTTTTGTCTATAAACATTATAAAATGAAGTAAAACTGACTGCTTGGCAATCTCAGTCCTTCCAGAAAGTCATAAATCACATGAATGTCGACGTGAAGGGATGCTTTGAGTGAATTATTGGAAAAAATAGTCATCAATGGTGTCCTTCAAAGTGGGTAATTGGTTTAGGATGAAATATGTGTCATATGGTGTGTGACATGGACGTGGGGATGCATTAAGTTTTGAGTTTTGTGTGCATTTTGAAGTTTTGTTTGGAATGAAATTGAATTTAAATTTAAAATATGGGGTTTTGAAGTTTATTCTAACCTCAAAAACAGCTTAATGTGAAATTTCAACCTCAAATGATTACAAAATTGACATTATAACCTTAAAACTAGGTAGAATTTGATTTTCTAATCTCAAATAGTGATAAAATTAAAATTGTCACCTTAAAACTTGAGAAAATTGAGATTCTAACCTCAAAACTTGAGAAAATTGAGATTCTAACCTCAAAACTTGAGAAAATGAAGATTCTAACCTCAAAATTAGCAAAAAATTGACCTTTATAATTCAAATTTTAATAAAATTGAGATTCTACTCAAAAATTCAACTCAAAGTTTGTAAAAATTTAAGTTCATAACCTCAAAATTTTCAATTTTTTTACATTTTTCAAATAAAATTTCTCGCAAAATAATTTTAAAAACTTCGAATAAAAACTCACCTTCTCAATTTGATCCAGCGCTAGTGCAGCATCAAACCAACTCGTCCTTATGTATAAGTCTGAATATAATTTTTCATCTTCCACTGACGCTTCCGGATGCGGCTCCGGCACTCGAGGTATCGGGTCATTTATTGGTAAACCCATTTTTTAATTCACTTAATTTTTTTTTATTTTTAAAATTATAAAAAATATTTTTGCTTATTTTTTGAGTATTTTTTAAAACAATTTTATAAATTCACTTTGAACTGTTGTTTTAGTTAATTTTAAATTAATGATGATGAGTTGTGTCAAGATGAATTGTTGTGATGATTTTATCCATTTATGATGAATTGCTAAGCGAATTCTTTACATTTTTGAATGAAAGAAGGTCTGAAATGAAACAAAAAGAAAGAAAATTGTAGAAATGAGTGTTAATTTTTTTGTTTGAGGTTAAGTAAGGTTTTGGGGGTTAATCTGCTATTTTTATGGAATTTAAGATAGAGTCTGACTCATGTTGAGTGTCCATTAGCTCTAGAGCTCTATTTTAAACGCAATTTCAAGGCCTTTTAAGTTTGAATCTCTAATTTCTACCAACAATTCCACAAAATTGACCATAAAATGCTCATAAAACCAATCAAATCCCTTTAAAAAAACCCTCAAAACCTTCCAAAAACTCCTCGAAGGCCACTCAACCTCCATTAAACCTCCAAGCCCATCCAAGAAATTTCCTGAAAATTCTCTCAACTTCTACGCACTTTTTTCAGTGGTAAACAAAATTCCTCGACGAAAAGAAAACGAAAAAAAAAATTTCTTCGAACCGAAAAAAAAGAATAAAATAAAATTTCTTGAAAAAAAAAAGTCTTCAGATCGACCGAAGGCAAGGCAAAAACAGAGAGTAACAAAATATAAATTGAGAAGAAAAAAAACACAACATTGAAACAGCCGTTCAAGAAATTGAATCGGTTACGGTCACTGGCACTGGTTTTCTTCTCGAGATCTTTTCTTTCTGCCTCGTTTTCGTTTCTTTTTTTTTTGTCTTCTTTTTTCCTCTGACTCGCTTTAATGTCTTAATTTTTTTTTTCTTCTGTCTTCTCTTGCTCTTCTCTTCTTATGGATGCTGATGATGATGTTGTTGCTTCTGCCTTCTTCTATTACTACATCGATCGAACATTTTCATTTCTTTTGAGTATTATTATTGTTATTTGGGAGTTTGTTTTGATGACTAAATTAAGTCTGAGAGTTGGATTCTCGTTTTGTTTGAAGTTTTGGATCTTTTTTGGGAGTTTAGGGTTCTTTTAAGGGAGATTCTTTGTTTGGGATAGAAGCTTATATAATCAGAATCTAGTAAAACATTAAAGATTTAAAGCAATGAACATAAATTGGTAAAAGAAAACTAAGAATGGAAGGATGAGCTAGTTTCTCAGTTCAATAATTATAAAGAAGATGGATTAGAGCAATGATAGAGTCGATTAAGGTTCTTAAACCTTTAAAAGGGTTTCTTCATTCTTAAACTTCTTCTTAAAATTCGTCACTAAAGATTTGGAACGGATTTGGTGTTTTCACTTTTGATTTTCTGAGTTCCATAAAAAAAGTACATTTTTAAACTTTAAGTGTACTAATCTAGTACACACATATACTAAATTAGTACTCTCGCCTACTAGATTAGTACATTTGCTTATTAATTTAGTAAACTTGCCTACTGAATTAGTAAACTTGACTACTAAATTAGTAAACTTGACTACTAAATTTGTAAACTTGTCTACTGAATTAGTAAGCTTGACTACTAAATTAGTACTCTTGTCTCCTAACTAAAGTAAGAACTGAATTTCTCTTATTTAAATGCAACTCACGATTTAATTTGAAATTTAGATATTTTTCAAACATTTTTTATTCAGAGAAAATTTAATTATTTCAAAAAAATCTTAAATACTCCAAAAATAATAATTTTATCTTTTTGAAAAATGTATTTTTTTACATTTTTAAAAAATAATCCAGCAAATTGTAAAAATTCGTCAATTTAAAACTTATTTTGTTTTAAAAAATTTTATTAATTTTGATTATTTTTTTTTATCTTTTTAACATTTTTGAATAATTCTTAAAAAAAAATACTTACATTTTTGTTTATATCCTTTAAAATTCAGTCTGTTTCTTTCTCCTAATTTAAGTTAAAATCTTGCGATGCACTTTAATTTTAAATATTTAAAACAAATATAAATTTTCAAATTTTTTCACTTTTTTTAAATTTTTTAAAAAAAATTATTTTTGTTTTGTTTTTAAATTTTTAAATAAATTCTTTAAAATCTGTTCAGTAAGTTCTTTAATAATTCTTCCTTCTTTCTTATTCTACAATATTCTTTCTCGACTTCCTTCTCGAACTATTTGCTCATTATTTATGCTAGAAATTCATTCACGACATGAAAAATTCTTTTCGCATTCCATTCGATTTTGCAGATTTTTTTCTACTTTTTCACTATTTTTTCAATTTTTTTTTATAAAATCAAAATTAATTTTTTTAAATATTTTTTCAAGTTTTTATTTGAAAATTTCACTTTGACAGTCTCCAAAAATCTCAAAACTTTTCATTTCGTTTTCAAAACACGAGAAAAAATGTCTCAATACACAAAAAAAGTCGACGGAGAACAAAAAAAAATATTTTTTCTCTCACAACAATTTTTTTTAAAAAACTTCACTGATGTTTGAATTTTTATATAATTTCCACAATTTTCCTCCGAATTTTCCAAATCTTTATCCACAATTGTTAAATATAAAAATTTCACTTTAACTTTACAGAATTTTTATTTAAAATTTTCCACAAATTTACGCTTAAATTTCACAAATAAATTCCATAATTGAGAATTTTTGTGCTCATTTTTTTCTTCATCACTCGCGCAGCGCGTTTGTTATATCATTTATGTGTCTGAATTGTTTGAATGTCTCACATAAAATGAAACTCGCACTCGATCGGTTTGTGCTGCTCTGAAAAATATTTTTCTGTCTGTAAAAGATTCTCTCTGATTTTTATTTTTTGATGTTTTACTCTCGCTGGATCTTTTCTCTCCGATTTCCATTCACAAATTGGCCATCTCTCAAATGATCGTGTGCGGCCTGACTCGATTTAGGATGGTATGGATGTTGATTGAGAAGATTTTGGCCGAATATTTGGGACTTTTTCTTTACTTTATGATTTTTTTACAATTTTGGACTAGATTTTTAATTTTAGTACTAGATTTTTTTATTCTATGTACTAGATTTCAGATCTAAAGTACTAGATTTGCTAGCAAATTGACCAGATTGTTTTAATGATGGACTAAATGTACCAGATTCATTGACTGAAGTACTTGATGTCCTAGATTCTTTGACTGGAGATGTGCCAGATTTATTAAGTAGGGTGCTAGATGTACTAGATTCAGTTACGGAAACACCAGATGTAGTAGATTCATTTATTAAAGTACTAGATATAATAGCTTCTTGGACGGAGACACTAGATGCACTATATTTATTGACTGAAGTACTAGATGTAGTAGATTCTTGAACAGAGGCAATAGATGTACTAGATTCTTGAACAGAGACAATAGATGTACTAGATTTATCGAATGAAGCATTATTTGTACTAGATTTTTTGACCAAAATATTACATCTTCCACAAATGTAGTAGATTTATTGTTAAGTAGCAATAAAGTCTTAGAAAAAAGACTAAGCTGCAAGGAACATCAATTAAGCAACTCTCACAACAGCCTCATCTCACACCCGATCAATTTGCATTGCTCAATATCTCAACAATCCTCTCCCAAACCCCAACTCCTCTCCCACTCACCAAAATCCTCTCGCACATCCATTCACAAAACAAAAATCCTCTCAAATGATCGTGTGCGGCCTAATCTTTTCTCTCGCTCTCTCCTCTTCTTCTTTTCTGTCTTCATACACATATTTTTTTATTCAGGCACAGTGAGCATACATCGACTCCGTCCCGCGCCTTTACACAAGAAAGAAAAAAAGGAAGAAGAAAATAGACGACAAAAAAAAAGAGAAAGAAGGAAAAAAATTTACGATATTTTTACGATAACTTTTTGTTTTCTTTCGCTTTACTTTGTTGGAATTGCTGTTGCTGCCGATGCTGTTGTTGTCTATGCGAGTCGATGAAAATTTGCTGTTGATAAATTGCGACTTTTACTTGTGTTGATTGAACTGTGGACATTAATTTTACTTTTTATTGCAGATATATGCGCGAGGTCTGCTGATGATTTTGTAGTTTTGGATGTTGTTGTTGTGGCATTCGAATGAGGCACGAGTCATTGTTTCGGATTATAATGTTAAGATTTGAGAACTTGTTGGGAACTGAAATTAAATTTGGGGCTTATAATGTCAGAAATTAGTGTTATAACCTCAAAAATAGAAAAATAACCTCAAAATTCGGTATTATAACCTTAAATTTTAGACGATTGTGGATCATAGGACCGACCGAATTTTCGGCCGAACTTCTGCTGAACTCCGGCCGAAATTTTTTGAAATTTCGGTTGAAATTTCGGCCGAAATTAGACAGAAATCTTGAATTTCTTTTTAAAAAGGTAAAATTTTATTAATTTTTTTGTATGAACCGAAGTTTTTTTGACGAATTAAAACAATTTCGGCAGAAACTTCGGCAGAAATCTTGTGTAAACCAAAAAATTATTTTCTTTAAATCCATTTTTTCTGATTCACCGTGTAGTTTAACGTAGTACAAAAATTTGGGGATTATCCTCGGATTGAAAAAGTGGATAATCCGATCAGTGAATTATCGACCTTAGTGAAACACCGATTAATTTTCATTATTATTTTATCGTAACAATATTTTAATTAAAAATTTAATTAACAGAGTAATTCCTAGTACTTTACTACTACTTTGGTACTTTAGTTGTGTCTTGAAATAATTTTTGATTAAAATTTTTTTAACGTGCAAACTCCTTTTTGACCAGACTTTTTGTAAAAGGAAAAATCATAGTCAAGCAAAATTTGAGAAATTTGATTCAAACACATCATCAGTGCTATTATTTAAGCCCAATAAACTACAGCTATAATTTAATGCTAAATATTATAAAGTAACATTAAGTGTAAAAATGTTTTTTTTTTTAAAAATTGAATTAGATAAAGATGATTTATTGTTTTAGATAATTTTTTTTCAAGAAAAATTCAAGTTTGCGGCCGAAATTTGAGCCGAAATTAAAACAAACTTCGGGCGAAGTTTCTGCCGAAATAGTTTTAATTCGTCAAAAACTTCGGCTCATACAAAAAAATTAATAAAATTTTACTTTTTTTAAAAGAAATTCAAGATTTCTGTCTAATTTCGGCCGAAATTTCAAAAAACTCCGGCTGGAGTTCAGCAGAAGTTCGGCCGAAAATTCGGTCGGTCCTATGATTCACGCCCATTTTAGACACATAACCTCAAAATAATCCAAAATAACCTAGCATAACCAAACCTAATCTCTCTAATACTTTAGAAGGAAATTCAACACATTTTTGCCATTTAAAATTCTCAGAAAGTTCCACACCGCATCGCCAAACACCCCAAAACATTCCTCACAACGCCAAACTTAATATTTCATTTGTAAAAATTTCATTTTCATTTATTTCTGTTGCTTCTAAAATTAAAAGCTTTTTAATTTTTTTTCTTTCGTTTTCATTTCATTAATTAAAACCTCGACATATTAATCATATTGCCCGCAAGCTGTCACGAAATATTTCTTTTTTCTTGTTAATGTTCAACTCCATTAAATATTTTTGAGTGTGTTTTGGTTATTTTGTGACTTTGTATTGAGAGTTTTTGAGTTGAATTTGACTAGTTTCTTGGTTGAACGAGAAGAAGTTGAAGCTGATGTATTTGTAGTACTAGATTATCTGAAAATTGTACTAGATGGTCTCAAATATGTACTAGATAATTTTAAGTTGTACTAGATTCTCTCAAAGTTTGACTTAATTTTCTCAAAGTTGTACTTAATTCTCTCAATTTTGTACTTGATTTTCTCAATTTTGTACTAGATTTTCTCAAATTTGCGCTAGATTCTCTAAAAGTTGTACTAGATTTTCTAAAACTTAAACTGAATTCTCTCAATTTTGAAACTAGATATTCTTAATTTTTGAACTAGATTTTCTCAATTTTTAAACTAGATTTTCTCAATTTGGTAATTAGTTCTCTCAAATTTGTACTAATTTTTCTCAAATTTGAATTAGATTCTCTCAAAGTTGTACTAGATTTTTTTAATTTTGTACTAGATGTTCTCAAATTTGTACTAGATTCTCTCAAATTTGTACTAGGTTTTCTTAAATTTGTACTAGGTTTTCTCAAATTTGTACTAGATTCTCTCAAAGGTGTACTTGATTCTCTTAAAAATGTACCAGATTCTTACAAAGTTGTACTAGATGATCTGAAAGTTGTCTTAGATTATCTCAAAGTTTGGCTAGATTCTCTCATGGTTGTACTAGATTCTCTCAAATTTAGACCAGATTGTCTCAAATTTGTACTAGATTCTCTCAAAGTTGTACTAGATTCGCTTTAAACTCGACTAGATTCGCTCAAAACTAGACTAGATTCTCTCAAATTTAGACCAGATTGTCTCAAATTTGTACTAGATTCTCTCAAAGTTGTACTAGATTCGCTCAAAACTCGACTAGATTCGCTCAAAACTCAACTAGATTCTCTCATAGTTGTACTAGATTCTCTCAAATTTAGACCAGATTGTCTCAAATTTGTACTAGATTCTCGCAAAGTTGTACTAGATTCGCTCAAAACTCGACTAGATTCGCTCAAAACGCAACTAGATTCTCTCAAATTTGGACTAGATTGTCTCAAATTTTTACTAGTTTGTCTCAAATAAGTACTAGATGATCTTAATTTTGTACCAGATTTTCTTAAACTTGTACTAGCTAATCTTAAATTTTACTACATTTATCTTAAATTGTTCCCAAAATTGTTCGAAAATCTCCAATAATCGAACTTAACAGACCCAAATTCTAGTATCCATAAACATATTAATTAAGATTAATAAACCATCGAGACCGCTGTTCATCCGAAAAAGGATCCCATATCTCCCTCCAAACTGACATCAAGCCTTATAAAATATTACTCAAAATCAATCATCACGTGAGAATTGAAACTTCATCTTAATGCTCATTTTGATAATCAAAGGGATTTCTTTCTTTTTTTCAATTTCGGGGGTCTTTAATACTTACTTTTTAAGTTTCTTTTCAAGCAATAAAAATAAAATGATGAGAAATTAATGAAATACAATGTAAAAGGCAATCAAACTTGCCTTCGCATTTCATTTTATAAAAAAAGAGTTATAAAAATTATATTTTATACTCGTAAATATAATGATGATGGTTTTTGTTGAGGTTGTTGGGAATGAAAAGTGCGTAAGTCCACTTTTGAGGGTATTGTTGGATTTTGAGGGTCAATTTTGAAGAATTAAGAGTCAATTTTGCTGCTTTCAATAAAAAAATTTAAATATTTTGACTTAAATTGCTTCAAAATCTCCCAAGTGACCCCCAAAACCCCAAATCCATAATGTCAATCTCAAAACAGCACCAAAAAATTAATAAAATAAGAAATAAAAGCAACAAATAATTTTTTAATGTTAAAAACGAAGAGAACAACAAGCATAAAAGCAAGAAAACAACAACAAAAAAAAGCTACAGAAAAAGAAGTGCTCGAAAGACCACCCACGTTGAATGTGTGTTTGCGTACACTCCGCACAACAACAACAAGACAAAAAAATTATTATTATTTTTTTTATATTCTCTGTTTCTCTTCTTACTTACTGGCTGCTTATACTGTTGTTGTTACTGTCTCTTTTTGAGAATTATTTTATTTATTCGATTAAGACGAATGTAAGTTTGAAGATTTAGGTGATCATGTTTGAAGGACTGAATCTCTGAATTTCATTTCATCAATTGGACGGCATCTGACGACGAAAAGTCACAAAATAGTAGCTGTTGGCTGGCAACAGGCTGACCAAAGGCAACCTTGCATCGAATTGGGCTTAATTTTTGTTGTCATGACAATTTTTTTTGGCTGTCTGTCATTCAGGTTAGTTTAATTAACATTTCGACTAGTCAGGAGAGGTCCTTAGCAGTGTTGAAACCTAGCACCAGGGGTGTTGCCATTATCTAAAGAGGAAGGGGGGGCGGAGGGGGTTTTCGGATAAAATAAATAAGTTTAGGAGGTGTTTTGAGATTTTTTTGTCGAAAAATCCTAGCAAATTGAAGAATTTTTTTTCCAAATTATGTAAGGACGGGGGGGGGGGGGTCCCCTGCCTAGCACTCGCCTTAATAGACCTTAGCATATGTTGATCAGGATCAATTCAATCTTTTGCCGTTTTATGTGGCAGGACTTTGCAAGATCTAAGGAAAAATTTTGTCAAAGACAACTTTGAATCAACACTGGTTCCAAGACGGTATCTTGACTTCAACTCTGAAAATTAATCATCCATGTAAGTACCTTTTCTGAAAAAGAAGTCATTGAAGCTGTTTAAAGTTCATAAAAATATTAAATTCACGAAATTTTATTTGGAATTAATTTGAGGCAGCTTATTCAATTGTTTCTTGTCTTGATGACATTTTAGCTGAATTTCCTTTTTTTTTCATTCAATAAATCAAATTCAAATTATTTGTGCGTCATTTTATGCGTTTTTAAATGAGCATTCCTTTTAAAAGCAAAAAAAGAAACTTCACATTTGTGATTTCGAATTGAACAATGAACACTTTTCATATGTTTATAAATGTTCTTCTTGACCGTGAAGAATTTTCCATCATAATCGCACTGATATTTGCCAATTTTTCCACCAAAAGTTGTTCCGAAATGAGGCTTGCTTTTGTGTCTGTCCAAAGATTCTTCACAAAGGAATTTTAGCCCACAAATGTTGCATTTTGGGAGGTAAATTTGCGATTTGATTGATTTTGGCTTCTCTGGAATCATTTTTTTTTAATTTTATGATTTTTTGTCTGATTTTGAGGATGCTTTTCAGTTGAGTGATGAACTTTTAATGCTGTTTAGGATCAATTTACTTCTCATTTTATTAAATAATTTAATCATTATCAACTAAGATTTTGACTATTATTAAACAAAACTTAACTATCAGGTAACATAGTTTGGTCAAACTCTGCGATTTTGTTTACATCTTCACTAAGACAGCTGCATTATGAGCAGGAACTCTCATTTTACAAATTGAATTCTTTATATTAAATTTTTAGGTGTTGAAACTTTTTGCTGGAAGTCTTCGATTTGAACAGATTCTTTTCTAGGAATTAATATCTACTCAACTTTTTCAATTTGGTGAATTTCAAGATGGCGGTTTTTTTTCAGAATTGCGGATTTTCTTTTGATAAAAATTAAAAATGGTGGATTTTTGGTTTTGTTGAAAAATTCAAAATGGTAGATTTTTTTTAATTTTATTGAAAAATTCAAAATGGTGGATTTTTTTTTGTTTTGTTAAAAAAATTCAAAATTGTAGATTTTTTTTTTGTTTTATTGAAAAATTCAAAATGGTGGATTTTTTGATTTGTTAAAAAATTCAAAATAGTCGATTATTTTTGTATTGTTGAAAAATTCAAGATGCTGATTTTTTTTGATTTGTTAAAAAATTCAAAATGGTCGATTTTTTTTGTTTAGTTGAAAAATTCAAAATGGTGGATTTTTTTGTTTTGTTAAAAAATTCAAAATGGTAGATTTTTTTTGTAAAAAAAATTCAAAATCGTGAATTTTTTGTTTTGTTGAAAAATTCAAAATGGTCGATTATTTTTGTATTGTTGAAAAATTCAAAATGGTGATTTTTTTGATTTGTTAAAAAATTCAAAATGGTAGATTTTTTTGTATTGTTCAAAAATTCAAAATATTAGATTTTTTTGTATTGTTGAAAAATTCAAAATGGTGAATTTTTTGATTTGTTAAAAAATTCAAAATGGTCGATTATTTTTGTTTTGTTGAAAAATTCAAAATGGTCACTTTTTTTGTTTTGTTGAAAAATTCAAAATTGTGGTTTTTTTTGTTATTTTGTTGAATTATTCAAAATGGTAGATTTTTTTGGTTTCATTGAAAAATTCAAAATGGTGGATTTATTTTGTTTTGTTTAAAAAATTCAAAATGGTGGATTTTTTTGGTTTTATTGAAAAATTCAAAATGGTGGATTTTTTGTTTTGTTGAAAAATTCAAAATGGTGGATTTTTTTTATTACCTTAAAATGACGGGTTTGTTTAAAATTGATGTTTTCTCGTCATGCTTGACGGGAATTATACTAGTTTTTTATAAATTTTCACATGAGTCGTTATAATTTAAACTTTTTTCCACAACTTTACATCCATAGCTTATCGGATTCTCATGAACTTCATTGTGATGTCTTGTTAACAAGATCTTATGTCCAAATCACTTGCCACACAATTCACATTAAAAATTGCTTATTAAAAATAAATTTATGAGCTTTAAATATGTTTAATTGACTAAACCTAGCTGGACTTATGTCACACTTGAGCATTCTCTCATATTCTGAATTTCTAAGAAGTTATTTAATTTTTTGTGTGCATCAATGTGATACTTCATAGTTTGTTTTGTTTTTAATAAATTTCCACACAAATCACATTGCCGCAATATTTTTGGATGTGATCTGTACTTATGCTGATTTAAGCCTGACTTATTGTTAAAAGATTTTGGACATTTCGTGCATTGAAAAGCCTTTTTAATTAGTGATCGTGTCTTGATCTTTTTTACACATACTTTTTCAGAATCAACTTTGATAGATTTTCTAGTTGAATGACGTTCGAATGGATGCGCCGACTTCATATGTCTGTACATTTGATAATATTTCATTTTGACATTGCAAAATTCACACTTATTCGCGGGCAAATGGTACTTCATGTGACTTCTTAAATTGCGTTTGAACACAAACTTTTTTCCGTCAAAGTCACAGCAGAAATAATTTTTGGAATATTTTATTATTTGAACTTCCTTTGTGTTCTCGTCAAATTTTTTTTGTTTTGACTTCTTTTTTGGATGATTTTCATGCTTCATATTTTTGTGCTTTTCTAAAGATTCTTGGCAAAGGAATTTTAAGCCACAATAATTGCATTTAGGAAGGAACAATTGTGGCTCATCTGAATCCAATTTTACACATAACTTCCCATTTAATGTCAATTTTTGGAGCGGTTCTGAATTATTGTTGATGGCATCTAAGTTCTCATCTAAAGCTTCATTTCCTGTATTGTTATTTAAACTCCTAGACTCAAAGTATGACTTTAAATCCTTCTTAACTGGCATAACTTAAATGTAATTTACACTTTTTTATTAAAATTTGTTAATCAAAACTTTTCAGAACTTTGCTTATTGAATTCTTCCTCAAAACTGCACATCATTAATAAAAGTTAAGCATATTTAGATTTTTTTCAAGGTTTATTTAACTACCAGAAATGAGATTCGATAACTTTTTCTAAAACAATAATAATTATCCATTTCCCCCAAGCACCACAAGTCGGTTAATTGAATAGAAATCCGGCGCCAAAAAGGCATGACGATTCGATTCGATGCCAGTCTTACAGGCTTGGTGCCGGAATTTCGATTGATTAATCGGCTTGGGTCATTCAGGTTAAGACCTGCTTGCCGCTTAGAAGTTAAGAAGATGATCCATGAACCACTTGTTGTGTCGGGTTTGAGTCGGTAATTACCACAAAGATGTACAGTGTACCGAAACAGCTCACATCATACAGTTTGTTGGATTTATGGGTTTTTTTACGAGACACAATAATGTGCCGTGGCACATAGGTTGACCATTACTGCATTAGAAGATGTCATAATATAAAAGGTACCAGAAACCGGAGTTCGTCAAATGATAGATTAATGATCTGATCGAATGGCCGAAAGTCGGATCGACAATCGAACCCACCAGTGATATTTTAGATCGTTTGTTGTAAGCCTCCGTTGCTAAGTATACAAGAGTACACTATTATCTGGATGACTTCATTACTTCATTAAATTTTGACATTGCATGGGACATCAAGTCTTATGACGTACTCATGTCTTTGCAATGTGCAGAGCTTGCAAGTGATTCGGATCCCACTATCAACTGTAGGTTAAAAGGCTAGACCTTATTTAAGTATGTACAAAGTTTCTATACATTTTGTTGCTTTTTGTTTTAAGGTTTCAGGCATTCAATTTGCCTATTATCTCTTAATATTGATTTCATTTACGGATTTTACTTTCTTTTGTATTTCATTTGATTTATTCGGTGTTTTGAGATGCAAGACGACTGTGAAAGGCTAGACCCTTCACACATTATTATTATAAGATCTTCACGATTAATGATTGATTCAATCTGCGATAATTAGATCAAATTTACAATTTTTGTTTGATTGATCGACGATTAAAAACGATTTTTCTGAGAATGATTGAAGTTGATCAATTTCAAAGCGTGGAAACTCAGGATTAATCCTAAAAAATCCCAAAATCCTAAAAAAAATCCCTGAGCCAAAAAACATGGAAATGTGAAATCCTTTTAAATCCCTGATGCATTTGATGAATAATTTCGGGATTTAAAAGTGATTTCAGGTTTTCATGTTTTTTGGCTCAGGGATTTTTTTAGGATTTTGGGATTTTTCAGGATTAATCCTGAGTTTCCACGCCTTCATCAATTTCATGCTTTTGATCGAATTTCCTAAGTACATGATCGTTGACGAACCTTGACAACCACACTGATAATATTGCTTACATTCATAATCTTTATCCTTGAGCTTTGATTAGATTGTACTTTCAATTTGAAATAACGACATTTTAAAGTTCAAACTGCAAACTTTTAAAGCGAGAGATTACAAGCAAACAAAGGAAGTCACCAACACATACACAAAACAATTAAAAACATATTTTTATTCATTCTTTTGAATTTAAATAATTTATTAATTATTTAATTAATTATAAGTTTATACTAAGCTTTCAAAGCTTTGAATCATATAGATCTTCAATTTATGAACTTGCTCAAATTAACAACTTTGTATTTAGCGCATAAAAAGACAAAGTTGAAGTAAAACAATAACTTAATTAGTAGATTTCATTAGCAACAAGTCAGACACTTGTATGAGCAGTTTCCATGACATTTCGTGGTTGAATCATATTAAGTGAAATTAATTACGCTAGGCTCAGTGGACACAATCTAGTTGTGGTAGCAAATAATCACGAAAATACAGCAATTTTTGAACTATTTCGACATATTAAAATTTATAGAACTCAAATATTAGATAAGATATTGGTAAGTTTTTAGCACTTACACTTTCCTAAATCCAAACGAACTTACCATACATAAACTTTAAAAAATAAAATCAGATTCTGACTAGATCAGCAAACTATTTGTTGACTTATTTATTTATTGATTATCATTAAAATTGTCAGTATTAAATCAAATTTTGCAAAGGTAAGAAAATATTAAATATTTAAAAATATGTCAACAACATTTTAATACTTCACAGACTACAAAAACACCCGAAAAATGGAAGTCAAATGTAATTTTGGGACTATAACATCCAAAAGTTTAGCAGGAAAATTCTACTCGTGTGTAATTAAACATCAAATAATTCCAGAAGATCAAGACCTTATCAAATTCATAGGCGAGCATGAACACGAAAAAACCAACAATGACGTCCAATGCTTAAAATTCATCAACTGCTTAATCACAAAAGTTCCACAAGGACTCACAAAAGTCTTTCCAAATTTAACGTCTTTAAACGTTTCCGAGTCAAAATTGAAGAAAATTGTCAAAAATGATTTAATTGAGTACAAAAATTTAAAACGATTTATTTGTGAACTTAATGAAATTGAGTTCCTGCCTGGTGACTTATTTGAAGGATTTAAGGATTTAGAATGGATTGGATTTTGGAAAAATAAATTGAAAGTCATCGAACCGAATATTCTGGATGGACTTAAAAAACTTAAACTTTTAAATCTATCGAAAAATGTTAATTATAACAAATTATTTGCAATTTATCCAAATTATAAATCTACAATAACTCTTGATGCAGTTCGTGATCATCTTTATGAGAAATTCTTTTCTGTCGATCGTCAAACTGCAGTCAATTTTATGGATAGACTGCAACATCAAGCTTCAAATTCAGCACAACCAAAGCTTCCATCAAAATCCAGTTTATCTGTAGATCTCACAGCTTTCATTCAAAATGACACCAATAAAGACTTCAAGGTAGTCATCGGTTCTCAAGAATTCCCAATCCACAAGTTCCTGCTCGCAGCTCGAAGTCCAACTCTGGCTGAATTGCTGAAAAACAACCCTCAAGCTGAGGATTTGAAACTTTCAGACGTGTCTGCTGAAATTTTTGAGATAATTCTTAAATTTCTTTACACTGATGAACTTCCAGGCGACGATGGGACAGACTTTTTGCAAATCTTTGCTGCTGCTGGGAAGCTGAAGATAAAAGAATTGGAGAACTATGCCGCTGACAAGGTTATTGATCAGATTGATGGAATCAATGCTATTGACATCTTCAGACTAGGTTGTAAATATAAAAATTATGAGATGAAGCAAAAAGCTGTCAACAAAATCAAGGAAAAGTACCCAAAAATGAATTTTATGGATTGATGATTCTGGAAAAAGGTGACAAAAATTATTGAGGATAATTGAGTAGGAATTTGTAGCATCAACATGGAATTTGATTAAAATTAAAGTGGAATAATTAATGCGAAATTTTTAAAAAAATTGAAAAATAATAAAACAAAATAAAATTAAATTAAAAAAAAATTTATTTATTTAACTTGATTCTCATGAGACTTCATCTGATGATGCCTAACATTAATAGCTCGTGTAAATTTCTTCAAACAAATCAGACACTTAAATTTCTTATCATGAGAATTCTCATGACACTTTAATTTACGTCTAGTTTTGAATGCAGAATTACAAATTTTACATTTATAGTCTCCAAATTTACGGTGAACTTCTTTCATATGTTCATAAATATTGCTTTTTTCAGTGAAGAATTTTCCGTCAAAATCGCACTGATATTTGCCAATTTTTCCACTATAAGTTGTCCCAAAATGAGGCTTGCTTTTGTGTCTATCCAAAGATTCTTCACAAAGAAATTTTAGTCCACAAATGTTGCATTTTGGGAGGTAAATTTGAGGCTCTTCTGAAATTGATTTTTTGGATTTGATGATTTGTTCTTTGTTGCTGTTGTCACTAAACGTGAAGTATGATCTGATATCCTTTACTGATGTCATGGTTTGTTCCTTTTCAGTGTCTTGCTTGATACTTTTTAATTAATCTTGGATTTTCTGGGCTGAATGCCTCTAAAATGGCGAAATTAATCAATCTTATAGTTCGTTAAGTTGAGAATCTTATAAAATAGTTTTTAATCTGATTCTATTTTTTGAGATGAACTTTTTTTTAATTTACCTGAAGTCTGGCATACTTAATCAGTTCCTTAATGTTTGATTCCTATTTACCTAACTCAGCAAATTCTCATGAAACAAAAACTTTAAATTCTTGGACATTCTTAATTGAACTTTAGTCAGAACTGAATAATTTGGTAAACACAAGCTAATTGGATCCAACAATAACCTAAAGTAAGCAGCAATAATCATGAATTTCATCACTGCTCACCAAATGAAGTACCTGGACAACAAATTGAAGCAAGATTTTAAAGATTCTGAGGCAAAATTGAACAACGAAATTCAGCAATTGAAAGATTTTGTCACAAACTTGAGTCAACAAGTTCAGGAGATGAAAGGCTCTGCAAATGAACCAGAAGGACAGCAGATAGAGGCAAAATTGAAGCTTGAAGTCGAAAGATTACGAAACTCAGAATCTAAACTAAACCAAAAGGTTGAACAATTGAAAGTCTCAGAATCTGAACTTCTCCAGGAAGTCAAGCAATTACGAGAATCAGAATCCAAATTGCTTCAAAAAGTCAAACTATTGCAAAACTCAGAATCCAATTTACTCCAAGAAGTCAAACTTTCAAGAGATTCCGAGTTCAAATTGACAAAGCAACTTCAACTTTTAAGCCACTCTGAACTAAATTTGACACAAAAAGTTCAACAGTTTCGACATTCAGAAATAAAATTAATCCATGAAGTCAATAAATTGAAGGTTTCTGAATCAATTCTGAAGATCAAGATTGACAAACTGAAGGATCAAGAGATTAACACAAAGTTGCAGCTGCAAGAGTCGATTATGAATGAATCTCAATTAAGAATGGCAGTAAATCAACTCAGAACAGACCTCAAAACCATGAAGCTTAAACATGCACAAACTATGAAGATTAAAGAAGGCTTAACTGCTGACTTTAAACTTTACATCCAAGACAATTCCACAAAAGACTTTCAAGTTCAAGTCAAAGATCGAACATTCTCAGTCCACAAGTTCCTCCTTGCAGCTCGAAGTCCAACTCTAGCTGAATTACTGAAAGCCAACCCTGAAGCCAACAACTTAAACTTAGTTGACATTTCGGTTGACATTTTTGAGATAATTCTTAAATTTCTCTACACTGATGAACTTCCAGGCGACGATGGGACCGACTTTTTACAAATCTTTACTGCTGCTGGGACGTTAAAGATTCGGGATTTGAAAGATTATGCAGCTCGTAAGATTATTGAAGTTACTGACACAGAGAATGCTATGGCAATTTATAATTTTGGAAAACAGTATGGACATGATGGAATGCAGCAGAAGGCATTTGAGCAACTTAAGAGAAAATATCCGGATATTATTTTGGGAGGTCATTATTCATCATGTGTTGAGGTTATTAGTGGCATCTTTGAGCTTTCAAAATTCAACAATGTTAAAAAGTAATGAAAATGAGGAAAAGTTTGTAGGAGAATCAGCGCGGAAGCTGGGAGACGGGAGTGTTTGAAGAGATATCATGCAGAACAAATTGAAATTTAAGAATTTCGTGAATTAAAGTATATTTTTAAAGTTAAATCCTATTGCAGTATCCAAATAATAATAAAATTAAGTATAAGCTTCAAGAATTAGAGACAAAAATCAATAAAATGGATAAAAAAACAATTTTTGTGAAATCTAACCTAAAAATAACTTTCACTTTAATTAAACTGCAATTACTTAGTCATTTAAGCTAGTTCAGGCAAGATTATTGCCTTCGAATGTAAACCCTTCAATGTTATGGGAAATTCGAGTCAATTCCTATATTAATAAGCCCTGAACGAGTCCAGACATCCAGTAAATGGAAAATTTATTTGGTAAATCTTATTTTACAGCTCCGTAAATTGTATTATCCAATAATGGGACAAATTTATAGCTTAGTAGCTATAGTCGATAAAATTTGACATAAATTAATCCATAAACCGAAAAACCCTTCAGTTCCAACATTCAATCCACCAAATTGCTCAACACTTCCAGCAGAATCTTATGTTTCATAAACGTTTGGGAAATTCTAAGGAAAAGCGTTTGGAAATTAAAATCCAGTTTTAACACTTGATTATTCTACTCATATTTCGGCTTGGAGTTAAACTTGGGTCGAGAGTATCACTTAAATCCAGTTTTGGAAGTTTAATTTTCACCTGAATCTACATTCATCCTTAAAAACGACCACTGGGTTCCTTTTTTGAATTGTAACATAAAATTTCACGATCCTTTTTCGATTGCACGTCAAGACTTTATCGCTAATTTATTCAGAAACTTCACGTTAGCACCTTTTTAACTGCTACAAGTTTAGTGGGTATAGAGGGATTGGGGTAGCCGAAATCTGATTCCTAAGCTGACCAAATGTCAATAACATACCTTGATAGCTCTAAATGTGAGCTGAAGTAGCTTGGTGATGGAATGGTTTAGTACTTAGGTACCTAGTTATTGCAATACTGACACAGCGATCATGGGTTCTAGAATCGGCATGGGAAAATTTTCACTTGTCCTTTTTCGAATCATATGTACTGAAAATGAGGCTCACAGCCTTTCTTTGTAGGCTACAGGCAGAACTGTCATCAGAGGAGTGGTTCGGATCCCACTGTAAACTGTAGGTCTAGGTTTGAGCGAGAGGTCTGGCGAACCCTCTCTTGTTAAACTATCATTAGCCTTGTAACGCATAAAAACGCGCAGCTATGAGGAAAAAGTACTTTAAAGGATAGATTAAAAGATAAAACATGGAGGGTGGCTGTCAAGAATTTCAGTAATTCTTGATTTTAATTATTCTGCTTCACATTTCATTTTTAACTGAATTCATATATTCAAATAAATCTTCAGAACTGTTCACCATAATTGCCCAAACTCACCACTTAAATGGTGAAATGTGGGTATGAAGATCAGTATAGAGCTGAAACTCAGTAGTGATACTTCGAGCAATTTAATTCCCTGATCCAGAATAAATTTTGAACGGAAGATACCGAAAGGTTAGCTGAATAAAGTCGATTGAAATTGAGCTAAAGTGGGATTTTCTTTGTGAACGCAAAATATTTCTTCCTCGAATTTCAGCTGTTCATTATTGTTTGCAGGAAAGGGTGAGTGACTAAATTAAGTTCACTATTTTTTTAAAAATACGCACATAAAGTGCATTAAATTAAATAAATCAAAAGGGATTTCTTAACAGTGGCAGCCCCACATGCAGGCTAGGAATGGTGAGGTTTACAACCAACCATTCCTGAAATCAAGATGTACAAAGAAAGCAACATTAGGTAAACAGGACTGGATTAATAACGACGACCTAGCGCAAAGGACAATGGATAGTGGATATAGGAAGGGTCCAGAATTAAAATCCATGTCAGAGTCACTTCTATTAGTCAACTTGCTGAAGAGCCCTATCAACTGGCTGCAGATACAATGTTACTTAAGAAAGTTTCGAAAATCATCGATTCTAGTCTTTTGACTCAATTTTGATAAATAAATAATTCAATCTTAAAGTTTCATAATTTTAACGTATTTTAAAATTTCAAAATAATCGACCAATAAAAAACAATTAAAAGTTTTCATAATTTTGAAAGTATTTGTTGAAATTATTAAGATAAATTGATTGAATATTCATTTGAACTGCACATTCTGACTAAGTTCTTCATAGTTGAAGCATTAACCACAGCCAACAGAACATCAATTTTAGCTGATTGCATCATTATTAAAGTAAGTTATTAGGTTTTGAGGTTATCTTACCAAAGGCAAGTGACATGTGCTTTAAAGCCTTTGCGCCGTTTCCATATCTTACTCTTTTGTAGAGCCATAATAAGATGAGACACTTAAAATAACAATAAGGATATAATAAACTTATTTTTACCTCTACTTTAGTCAACCAGAAACTCAAACTAAAGATGGACATTTCCTGGGAATTCGAGTACTTCATTTTAGATTCTCAAAACACCTACGGACTCATGATTGAATACCAAAACATCCCAGCAGATACACAATTCAATCTCACAGGCGATCATGATGCCTACAAGACCGATCAGGATGTAAACTTTATTTTCTTCAACAACTGCAATGTCGCCAAAGTTCCTGTTGGACTTACGGAGTTGTTTCCTAACCTCAAAATAATTGGAATAAGCAATTTAGGATTTCAAAATGACAAAATTGACGGTTTGGTTGAGTACAAAAATTATGGTCGATTTGTGTTTTTGAGAAATGAAGCTGAGTTCCTGCCGCTAAATTTAATTAAGAATTTTGAGGATTTGAATGTTTTTGACAACAATCTTTATGACATTGAGCCGAGGCTGATTGTTGGATTTGATGAATATAAGGAAGCTAATTTTGGAGTTGATTTGGAATGCGTTAAATTTAATTCAGTACATGCTAAGTATGACTTGGGAGCAAGTTTGAAGGATGTTTTTAAACAAATTGGAGGATAGTGGATTTGGTTTTGTACAATAAGGGGTGATTTAAAGGGTTACTTGGGGGCTTTGACTCTAGCATTGAGCTTTGATGTACTAAAATTCGGAAAAATATTTGAAAATGTTCCACAAAATTTAACCCAGCACAGAAAGTGAGCACGTGAAGTTAATCAAGCTTTAATCTTATTGTAGAGCATAAACAAACAACTTTAAATTAGCCATTTAATCTTATCTCAAATTTCTGGGTATTGGCAATTTAACAACACTTGAACTAGTTTCTCAATTCTTATCAATTTTATTCATTTTCGTTTAAACTTGAGTCATTGTTGGACGTACTTTTTGCATTATTTGTGGATTTTTAAAAAGTGTTTTTTTTTCTTTTTCAATAAAATATTTTAAAATTGAAAATCTTAAAAATAAATTTCAAAAAATTCAATTATTTAATAAATTGTAATAAAAATTTAAAAAATGTAAAAAATTTAAAAACTGAAATTAAAAATTGAAATAAATTTTTAAAAAATTAAAAAATTGTGGAAAAACTTAAAAAATTGTGAAAAAACTTAAAAAATTGCACAACACAAAAATTGCACACAAAATCCAAAGAAAATGTAAAAAAATATCAAAAAAAATAAAAATTTGGAAAAAAATCAAAAAATTCTTAAAAAAATAAAAAAAACTTGTAAACAATTTTTAAAAAATTGTAAAATAACCTTTTAAATAATTGTACAACAAAATTCAAACAAGTGTAAAAAATTAATTACATTTGAAAAAAATTGAAAAATTTAAAAAAATAAAAAATTTGAAAAAATTAAAAAAAAATATTAAGAAATAAAAAAAAATTTATAAAACAATTTTTTAAAATCTGTAAAAAAATTAAAAAGTTCCAAAAATTATAAATTGAACCTCGCAAAAAATGGAATTATTTTGTGAATTTACAGACTTTACATTTACTCATGGTGAAAAATCCTACGGCTGTTGGATAAGAAACCAAGAAATTCCAGCAGATCAAGTCATTCAAATAGCCACAAACCATGAAGATCAAAAATCCAACAATGACGTCCGTCATGTCAAATTTGACAAGTGCATAGTCACGAAAGTCCCCCAAGGACTGACAAAAATCTTCCCTAACCTCAAAATTTTGGATATTTATGACTCAAGATTGAAGACAATCAGCAAGGATGACTTGATTGAGTACAAAAATATCGAGAAATTCCTTTGTGAGAGGAACGACCTTGAGTTCCTGCCTGGCGACTTGTTTGAGGATTTTAAAAATTTAAATTGGATTGATTTTTATGGGAATCAATTGAAGGTTATTGAACCTAATATTTTGGACAGTCTAGAAGTTGTAAAGCATGCAATTTTCGGCGGAAATCCTAATTATGACAAATGTTACTCAATTTATCCAATTTACAATCCCAATGCGACTCTTGAAAAAGTCAAGTATCAAATTTTTGAAAAGTTTTTCTCATCCGACCAACAAAAAATTCAAGAATTTATGAACAAATTCGACAATCCAAGTAAAATGTTGAAAATTTACGACGCAAAAGCGAAAACTGTCGTGGCAAAGTCAAACATTTTGGACCTCAAATTCAGCATGCTGGAGGAAAAATTAGAAAAATTATCGCAAGATTTAGAAAATGAGAAAATGAAGAAACTTGACATGGCAAAGAACTTCCAAGAACAAATTGACTATCTCGCTTTAAAGCTCCAATCTGGACTCTCTGTCGACATTAAAACCTACATTTTGGAAGAATCTACAAAAGACTTTAAGATTATCATCGGTTCTCATGAATTCACAGTCCACAAGTTCCTGCTCGCAGCTCGAAGTCCAACTCTAGCTGAATTACTGAAAAGCAACCCTGAAGCTGACAATTTGAAGCTTTCAGACGTGTCTGCTGATAATTTTGAGATAATTCTCAAATTTCTCTACACTGATGAACTTCCAGGTGACGAACGCACCGACTCCATGCTCCTTTTTGCAGCAGCTGGTAAGCTGAAGATCCAGGAACTAAAAAACCACGCAGCAGAGAAAGTTATTAGTCAAATTGATGAAGACAATGCCCTTAAGATTCTATATGAAGCAAGTAAGTATGAGCATGACAAGCTAGCGCAAGCAGCATTTGAAAAGATCAAAAAAAAGTATCCAAGAATGCATTTTAAAGACAAGTGGATGAAGCAGCCTGAAAAGTTACAAAAAATTCTTGAAGTGATTCACAAAAAGGGAGAAGCGATGAAGGAAATTGAGGAAGTTTTTCATCATTTGAGGAAAAAGTAGATTTATATGTTTTTTTTGGGAAATAAAGGGGGTCGTTTATAAATAACGTCACATGGGATCCTTTAGGGGGCGGGTCCGTTCACTAATGACGTCCAGGGGGGAGCCATTAGAAATTCCTGGAAATCCATTTTTTTTGAAAAAAGACCGTTAATTTCTGACGTCATAAGTGAACGACCCCTTAGGGCTCGTTCACTTATTACGTAACACAAAAAAACGAGTTTTTAGACCCCCCCCTGTAACAAAGCGTAACAAAATTTAGACCCCCCCCTCCCCCCCTAGTGCGTTACGTAATAAGTGAACGAACCCTTAGCTAAAAACTGTATTTTTCATGGGCATTTGCTTCAAATCTTATTCATATTGTGTGATAATTTCTATGATGAATTACAATTCAGCTTTACTCATTTGCAATCTAAAAAACAGCTATTTGACAATTTTATTAATCATTCACAGTTAAGTTAAGTCTCGCTTTACTTCGTTATCTTCTGTAAATTAAAATTGTTAATTTTTAAATGTATAAATCCATATTTGTGCCAAAAAAGCCACCTAAAACTTTAGAAATGGCTGTTTTGTGTGAATTTACAAACCAAACATTTCCGCACGGTGAACAATTTTATGCCTGTGAAGTCAAGAACCAGATTATACCCGAAAATAAGGACGTAAAGCTAATTGAAAGCTTCCAAAATGTTAAAATAAATGATGATGTTCATGGTGTGAAGTTCAGCAACTGCACAATCAACAAGATTCCATCAGGACTCACTAAACTCTTCCCAAACATGAAGTTTCTCATCATTATAAGCTCAAAGTTGAAGAGCATATCCAAAAATGACTTGACTGAATACAAAAGCTTAGAGAAATTCATCTGTGAAGGAAATGACGTTGAATTCCTGCCTGGTGACTTGTTTGAAGGATTCTCGAACTTAGTATTCATCTCGTTCTCAATGAACAAGTTAAACGACATCGAAGCTAACATCCTGGATCAACTTCCAAACCTCAAACATGTTAATTTCAAGAATAACCCAAAATACAGCAAAGCCTTCTCAATTTATCCAGTGTATAAAGCAAATGCAACCCTTGATGACGTCATGAGCCAATTATTTGAAAAATTCTACACAAAAATCGAGAATGTCAAGAAAATGATGCAAAAGTATGAACAGGAAATCCAACAATTGAAGAATCCTGGAGGAAATTTACTCAAATTTTCAGCGCCATCAACAGTTGCAGAGTCTGAATATCAAAAGCTCGTCCATAGACTCCAAACTGGAATCTTCGGTGACCTGGAAGCTTATATCCTTGACGAAAAATCAAAGGACTTCAAAGTCATCATTGGTTCTCAAGAATTCCCAGTCCACAAGTTTCTGCTTGCCGCGCGCAGTTCAACTTTGGCTGAATTGCTGAAAAACAACCCTGAAGCTGAGAATTTAAAACTTTTGGATTTGTCTGCTGAGATTTTTGGTAAAATTCTTAAATTTCTCTACACTGATGAACTTCCAGGTGACGATGGGACAGACTTTTTGGAAATCTTTGCTGCAGCTGGGAAGCTGAAGATTCAGGAATTGAAGAACTTTGCAGCAGGGAAGATTTTTGACCAACTGAATGAAGAAAATGCCTTTGAGATCCTTAAACAAAGCAACAAGTATCAAATTTTTGAATTGAGGGACAAAGCTTTCCAGATGATCAAGAATAAGCACCCAAACATTGAGATAAAGGATGAATGGGCAAGTGAGCCTGAAAAGTTGTTCAAAATTGTTCAAAACACAAAAATGAAGGAAGAAGCAAAGCGTAAATATGAAGAAGAAATACGCAAGCTTGATGAGCAGTTTGAACATTCAATGATAAAATGAGGTTAAGTTTGAAGAAGATCAATTTATTGTATTTTTTAAAATTATGTTTAAACTGTCAAAATAAATTATGTTTTTATTGCACTTAGTCATTGTAACCTACTCATGTACTGTTAATGATAAATCACAACTAACCGGTCCGGTCAACCACCCGCCATTTTTAAAACAATTCTTGAATGTGGTTCTAGTTAAAGGCCCCTCCCAAGTTTTCCCGTCAATTAAAAAATTTCAAACCCCTCAAAAAACGTCCTGGTTACGACCCTGCTAACGCTTATGAAAAATTGATTCACAGTCACTAAAACTTAGTAATTTATCTCATTGTCATAAAATTTGTTTTAAATGACAAATTATTTTTATAGTTCTTGACTCATTTGTCATCAAAGTGAGACACTAGTCGACGTGTTTAATAAATTCTAGTTAAAAATCTATAAACGTTTGCTTATTTAAGCTAAGTTTTGAAAGGTGAGTGTTTATTATGCTGTTGGATAACTCATTTCAGTGATGGCCAACCCAAGTGCCGCGAAAAAAATTCAGCAAATCCCACGAATTCGACAAATTAGACTTACCATCAAGATGTGCCGTGTCACAATAAAGGTTGGACATCACTGCCTAATACTTACTGTAACCATTTTCCTATGTGGAGCTTAGGTTACAACAAAAGGCTTTCCATCTGACTCTGTTGCTAGATATGTCACCTAGTTTGACAACTTCTCTGTCCTCACATTAAACTGCCATTTTTCATCACCATTTTACGCCAAGTCTCATATCACTGCTTACTATCGATAAAATACTATCGTAATGATTGAGAAATCAACTTCTATTAAGAATAGAACCCAATTTTTCGCAATAGTGAGGGTTATAGATATTAAGTCGATTCGGTCATAATGGCTTTACTCTAGCATTGGCTGATTCACCTATAAATCCTTTGGTTCTTTAACATCTACATTGTTATAAGATCAGTTCTCTCTGTATGGTATCTGAGTAGAGTATTAACTGTCTCGAGTGACTAAAAGGTTTGATTTTGACGCATGACTGACTTTCGCAGTCCGCATCGCTCTCATATGACTCGTGGCAACATCAAAACAACAACAAGTATGTGCTTGTTAAGTTATCGAGCTTTGTTTACACTAATCCGCCAATGTTAGAGTGAAGTATCTTCTACCAAGTGGTTAAGCTGCAAACAGGATATCAATAACCCTCACTTTTGTGATGATGTAGGTTCAACTAGCTTCTAAAGTTGATCTTTCAATCATTACATAGAGCGATGTCATCAAATCGCATGATACCAAAAATATGACGCATCCCACAATATTTTTTAAAAAATAATCATCCATAATTTTCAGGCTTACTCAATTCTATTCAGTCATGGCGATTCTATGTGAATTCTTAAACTTCCTATTACAACACAACGAAGAAATTTACGGCTGTGAGATTAAAAGGCAAGTAATATTCGAGCACAAAGAACTTAAACTTCGTGCAAAGGTCCTCAACGGAAGAACCAACAATGACGTGCATTCTGTGAAGATTGAGAGCTGTATGATCACTAAAGTCCCAATTGGGCTCTCAACTTACTTCATTAACTTAAAGGTGTTGCACATAAATGAGTCAAAGTTGAAGAAAATCACCAAAAATGACTTGACTGAGTACAAAAATTTGGAAAAATTCATCTGTACAGACAACGAAGTTGAACATTTGCCATTTGACTTGTTTGAGGACCTCAAAAATTTGGAGTTTATCGACTTTAGTGGAAATAAGTTGAAAATCATCGACCCTAACATTTTTGATGGACTTGACAAAATTAATCATATCAATTTACGTCGTAATCCAAACTACACCAAATGCTTCTCAATCTACCCAGCGTACGTTCCTAATGCTACTCTTGATGGCCTCAAAACTCAACTTTATGACAAGTTTCTGTTTGATTCTCAAAATTTAAAGACCTTGCTCAGTCAATTTAAGCAAAAGATCCAGGAAATCAGAGCTTACGAGGAGAACCAAAGGTCAGCAACCTCAGCATTTAAGACAACTCAGGAGCTGAAGACTTTAGCGTCAAAATTAAATCTGGAAAATCAACAACTTAAAGATTCCAATGCAAAATTAAAAACCGACTTTGAGTACGAAAAGCTCAAAAATGCCAAACTGCTCCTCAACTTCCAAAAAGGCATTTTCTTTGACCTCTCAGCGCTCATTCAAAATGAAGCTACAAAAGACTTTCAGATCACAATTGACGACCACAAATTCCTAGTCCACAAGTTTTTGCTCATCGCACGAAGTCCAACTCTGGCTGAATTGCTGAAAAACAACTCTGAAGTGGAAAACTTAAATTTACTTGACATTTCCGTGGACATTTTTAAGATAATTCTTAAATTTCTCTACACTGATGAACTTCCAGGTGACGACGGTACGAACTTTCTGCTCCTATTTGCTTCTGCTGGAAAATTGAAGATTGAGGAACTAAAGGATTACTCAGCAGGAAAGATTGTTGCTCAAGTTAATGCAGAAAATGCATTTGAGGTGTTCAAGTTGGGTTACAAGTATAATCATGGGAGGTTGAGGGAACGAGCTTTTGAAGAGATTAAGAAAAAGTATCCAAAGATTGAGTTCAAGGATGAATGGTCGATTGATTTGCATAAGATGGCGATGATCATCGATGGATTTATGAGAAGGGAAGAGGAAATTATGAAGTTGGAGGAAGAAATTCAAAGAATTAAGGATGAATTCAGTTATTTGACAATGGATTGAGGAAGGACATGAAGTCATAATTTATTTTCATGATTTAGCTAAGGTTGAGTCATGCTTAATCATTTTTTAACCCACAGTCAATAGATTTATTGTATAAACCCTAAAAATTATTAATAAAAGCTTCAAAAGTCATCATATACTGACCAGGGGCGTAGCCAGGAATTTGAAGAGGGGGGGGGGGGGGATTTTTGTATGGAAAAATTTAAGGGGGGGGGGGGATATTTGTGATTATATCATAAAAACCCTAGCAAAATAAAGAAATTTCTGTTTACGTTGGGGGATTTCCCAAATCCTCCCCTCCCTGGCTACGCGCCTGATACTGACTAAACCAGTGGTGTCCAACCTTTTTTCAGGTCAAGCCATTGCCAAAACTGCACACAGCATTCGGTTCGTGTAATTTCCTGAATCTACTAGTGTTTCGCGTCATAAAGGTTCACCATTACTGGACTAAATCATATGAATATCAATCAATATCACATCAATCCTCCTTCTATACATCTCCAAGGTCACAACCCGTCACATACCTAGAAACAATGTTAATTAAAGATCCAACATGTTAAAAAATATCATTTCACAAGCCAAAACGAAACTGGAACTTTTTGTTGATTTTTTTTGTTCTCAATTCACACATTTTTTTTCTCAACTTCTTTTTCTCTTTGGATTGAGTCATTTGACTCGCAGCTGATCTTCTGCAGGTTTTTCTAATGTTTACAGAGTAAATTATCGTTTATTAATGTTGATTTTCTCTTAACATTGAGACTTTTTTTTGTGATGAATCGCTCAGTTTAGTGTTGAAGTGTTGATGTGGATGGAGTGAAAAAGTTGATTTTTAGAGGTGATTTGAGGTAAGAAGTTGGTGATTTATATCGGAACTAGAAATCAAGATGGTCATTAGTTCAGATAAAAGATGAATTTAATATATATTTTTGCTTTTAAGTGGGTTAAAGTATGAAGTTGGTCCAACAAAGAGATTTTAAGAGCTATTCTTACTAAATTAAGTGATTGAGCTTACTAAACTACTTGTATGGATCACCATAGATCCCTCATTTCATTAGAAGACAGCTAATTCAGCTAACTGTACTGATTATGACTAGGCTGTCCAACTGCGCATTTTTGAGCGGGCAGTCCCGCTTTTTTGACCAAAGTCCCGCCTAAATTCCTTAATTTCCCACTTTTTGAACCTACTTTTCTTGGAAAATGCTTGAAAATGTGGACTGTCCTACGCTAAAATTGGGACACATCCCGTATTTTCACCAAAAATCGATAAAAACCGATAGACAGCCTTATTAAAACTTGCTTGTCAACACTGGTTCACTATTGTTCCTTTTAAAACTCAAACAATAGCTTAACATCTTCCCAATTCGCCAATAAATCAATTATTTTCACATTCCAGCACAAAAACTTGACCATGGAGCTCCGTTGCAGATTCATCGACTTCACATTCGCTCACGGTGAGAAGTTCTACGGCTGTAAAGTTGAAAACCAGCAAATAATTAACCAACATTGTCTAAAATTCATTGGAAAGCATGATAAAGGAAAGACTGACGATGACGTCTTGTATGTCATGTTCTCTAACTGCAACATGGCTAGAATCCCGCAAGGAATCAAAAAACATTTTTGGAATATGAAAATTTTGGACATCGATCGATCGAAATTGAAGCAAATTGAGAAATTGGATCTGGCTGGATATAAAATTTTGGAAAAATTCATCTGCTACAAAAACGAACTTGAGCTTCTTCATGAGGATTTATTTGAGGATTTTAAACATTTGGAATTTATTGATTTTTGTGGAAACAACTTGAAAGTCATTGAACCGAATATTTTGGATGGACTTGAAAGATTAGCAAATGTTAATTTTGGCGAGAATCCAAATTATGATAAATTCTATTCAATTTATCCAATTTACAATACAAAATCAACTTTAGACGAGGTAAAGGCTCAGCTTGTTGACAAGTTTTTCTCGCTTGACTCGAAACTTATTGAAATTTACCTCAAAAAGCTGCAAAATCCAGTCCAAATGTTGAAAATCTTCAGCAACAGAACCACAAATTCATCAATAAAGTCAATAATTTTAGAATTCAGACTCAATTTTCTTGAAAAAAGGCTTGAAAGTTTATCAGAAAGTTTAGAAACTGAAAAACTTCAAAAGTTGGAAATCACAAAAAATTTCCAGCTCCAAATCGACAGCCTGACATCCCAACTAGACACTGGCATCCTTGGAGACCTTAAAAGATTCCTAAAGAATGAAAACATCAAAGACTTTACAGTCAAAGTCGATGATCGAGAATTCCAAGTCCACAAGTTCCTACTCGCAGTTCGAAGTCCAACTCTGGCTGGGGTTCTTTACAAAAATCCTGAAGCTGAGAATTTGAAGCTTTTGGATGTGTCTGCTGAGACTTTTGAGATAATTTTGAAATTCTTTTACACTGATGAACTTCCTAGCGATGCAGAGACGAACTTTTTGCATCTTTTTGTGGCTGCTGGAAGGTTGAAAGTTGAGGAACTGAAAAAGTGTGCAGCAACGAAGCTTCACGATCAAATTGATGCAAATAATGCATTGGAAATCTTCAAATTAAGCAGCAAGTTTCAGAATGATGAGCTTAAAGTTAAATCATTTGCAGAACTAAGGAAAAAATACTCAAAAATAGAAATTAAGGATGAGTGGATTAAAGATTCAATTAAAGTTGAGAAGATTATTGAAAGATTTGAAAGAAAAGAGGAAGCAATAAGGAAGATTGAGATTGAATTTGAGGATTAAGAGACAAAAATTTACTAGATTAAGAAACAACGATTCAATAAAATCTTAAAAAGTTTTTATATTTTTTACAAATTTTTTATATTATTTTCATTTTTAAGGAAAAAGCTTTTTTTAAATGTACTGCATGTCGATGAATTCTTGGAAAGGACGAGAGTTTTGAGTCACTGTTAAAAAGGAGTCCCCAAAACCTAGCTTACCTTTGCCACTACATAACAGTTACCATTTAAAGAAGCATAAAAAACCTTAAAATAATTAAATATGCAGGGACTTGAATTGATCAGATTGAATGTTAGCTTTCAGAAAATTGGTTCAACAGGAAGCTCATTAATCCAGTCAGTAAAGTGCAGAATATTTGTAAAAATCGAGTAAGTGTCAACATCGCATCCATAAGTCATGTTATTAAGTGATGCAGAGACAACTCCACGAAGATAGTAAGCACTGCCATCAGTCACGACCAATCCACTTCCACTGTCGCCGATGCAAACACCAGTTCCATTTCCAGCTCCACCACAGAACGTTCGCTTGCTTGAGTATCGAGCCAATTCGTAGTTTTTGAGGAAGCAATCTTCATTTTGATGAATTGGCAAGTTGATGGATTTTGGGATGATTGAATGTAGCTTTTTTGGATCTCCGTCCTTTCCATATCCAACGGCAACACCTTCCATTTTTGTAGCCAATGTTGAGTTAGCGTACATGAGACAAATCGGTTGGATATACTTGCTGTATGTGACTTCAGTTTCGAGGACCATAATTGCAATATCAGCATCATAAGTATCAGTGTGTGGATTCCAATCAGGATGGATGTGAATACTCTGAACTGCATAAGGAAATCTTCCAACTTCATTTTTCTTCTTCAACCTGTGAACGCCAAGAAGGACTGTGATGTCTCGTGCCAGGAACACCATGCAGTGAGCAGCTAGGAAAAGTTAAATGGAATTAATATGCATTTAATAGAGAAAGTACGTTCGCTGGGTCTGGTTTTGGGTACACCTTAGAGCAATGCTGGTCAACCTTTTTTGTGGTACAAAACACCTAAGTGGTAAGCGATTACCGGAACTGCTTACCCATTTTGTTCCAAACGAACGTTTTGTTCGTGAGATTTATTGAATTTATTTTTCAGGGCAAATTGGTTGACCATCACTGCCCTAGAGTGTGATTGACAAAATTGCTTCCTGCTTTAATTTTTAAAAACTAATTTAAGCTCCAGCCTGTACACCAACAAACTTTTATGATTCCTGAGTCAATTTTTGTGGTCCCGGAATCCTTTAAAGCCCTTTGCTATTTTACTGATCTAAATAATGCTACATAATCTCACCTGTGACAACTTTCCGTTTTGAAATCAAAGTTCCACCACAAAAATATTTGTTTCTTGGTGCAATTAAGGCAGCAATCCTGTAAGTTTATATTGTAAGTTTTAGAATGTGCTGATTAATACAATTTTATACTTTACCATGGAAACATGCCGCGTTTGACTTCACTTCCTCCAATGATTGTTCCTTGTGCTTTAGTTTGTATACTGCAAGATTCAATTTTAAGTTGTCTGGCTTGATAATTGTCAAAGCATTTTTTCAGGTTTGCTTTTATTTTACTTTTATTTTCTGTGTCAAGTTGACAGCAACTGTTGTTTGTCATTTTAAGAGCTGAAACTGCAGTGTTGTCGATGACTTTTGGGTCAATTGCGTTGATTTTGTTGTCTTCGAGATCAACAGCTGTCAACTGGCTGTGAACATCGAAGGAATCAGAGTGAATTGTTGTCAATTTGTTGTTGCTTAAATTTAATGCTTGTAAATTGTTCAACTGATTGAAGACACCAACTGGCAGGTCTGAAATTTCATTGCTGTATAAACCCAATGTTTGTAAATTCTGAAGACCATCGAAGCTATCAAATTTCAGATTTTTGATTCTGTTTTCAAAAAGCCACAATTTTTCCAAATTGCTAAGTGCTCCAAAACACTTTGATGGAATTTCCGAAATTTGATTTCCTCTCAAGCTTAACAACTTTAAGTTCTGCAAATTCACAAACCACTCTGGATTGATTGACTGAAGCTTGTTGTTGTCCAAATACAGCACTTCAAGTTTTACAAGTGGACGAAAAATGTTGCTTGGCAGGAAATTTATTTGATTATCATCTAAATCTAAATCCTCAAGTTCCTTTTGATTGAGGAACAAATTTTCAGGCAACGATGTCAGTTGATTGTTAGATATCAAAAAAATAGTAAATTTTGAGTTTTGAGTCAGCAGATTTTCTGGAATTTCTTGAATCTTGTTTCCAACTAAGTACAAATGATTCAAATTCTTGCAATTTGACAGCGAATCTTCATCAATTGATTCCAGTTCTGCATCACTAATCTGAATGACTTCAAGATTTGGAAACTTTTGACAGAAAATTGATGAAAATGATCTCAGTTTGTGGTTTTTATAAGAAATAATCCATTTTACATCAGCATCGCTGTGTCCAGTTCCATGTTGTCCATCAATTCTTGTCAGTTTTTCATTATAATTTGCTTGCTTTGTACTCAAATCACATCTATAATAAGAAGCATTTATGTTTTTATATCCAGTAGTCCAGTAATTTTGATATTTGTGGTCACATTTTACAACTTGTCCTTTTGCTTCATAAAACATCAAAAATATAAAGCAGATCTTTAAAATTTCACTCATATTTGATTTCATTATTATTGCATTTTTTTAAATTTTTTAGCAAAAAGCTAACACAAAATAAAGCAAAATTTTTAAATCTATACGATTAACTGACTAAACGATGATAAGAAGGTCCAATAAATTTTAATTTCGAGCATCAAAAGCGACAATTAATCTCTGAGAAGAGAATTTGAGAAATTGAGCATTGAAATAAATCCAGTAATTTTATTATTTATTGATGAACAATCACATTGACTTTGAATTTGATGACTTTTTTGACTGTGAGTGTAAACTTGACAGTAATCAGTGGCATGGCAAGACAACAACAAACATACACCGAACTTAGTCAAACATTCGCAATCTTTTTGCATTTAATTTAAGCTTAGATCTTGCCCCAACCTTTGCGCATTTGATTATTCTCTTCGACTTTAGGAGATATCAAATTTATGTTGCTGGGTGCTTTGGAGATGCTTCAAAATCGGCCCTAAGCAGTGGCGTCAAAGAGCGAAGTTGGGAATTTAACTGGGAAATGGGGGTTTATATTTTTTTTCGTTTGGAAAAATTTTGGGGAGGGGGGGGGGGGGGGGGGGTGACAAGGGGGTTTTTAACAAAAACCCTAGCACAATGAATAAATTTCTGTTGACCTAGAGGGGAAATTCACCCCCTCCTCTAGCTACGCGCCTGAGTGGGCTTTTGCCCAAGGGGCTTTTTTTTTGAAAAAATCTCATACAAAGTGGCGTCAATTTTTAATCTCGTCCCCTGGTGCCAAAAACCCTCGATACGTCTCTGAACGTTACAAAACTAAGACCCCCATTTTTACCACTAAGAGTTACAAAACATACAACCGACCCCAATGTGAATAAATTTAAAAATAGAAAATCATCAAAAATATGAAATTTTTATGTACATAAAAGCTGATAACAAAGCGTGAATCACTCAATTTAATGATATAGGCTTCAATTAATCTTCACACACAAATTTAAATGTGACTGAAATTTAATTTTTTCTTCACTCATAGTTTAACAGTTTAATAGAAAAGTCAAACATCAAGATATTGTAAACTAAACTGATTAGTCGACCAAAGACACCACAACAAAGTGAATCAATGGAAGATTTAGACACAAAATATCGAATCCCACTCGAGATGATCATCAAAATAATATCAAACTTAAGCTCCATCAATGACCTGAAGAATTGCATGCTGCTGTGCAAAGACATCCGTGATTTAATGCTTAAAACACCTGAAATAATGAGGAAAATTGTCATTAAGGCTCAAATAAGCCACGATGTTCAAGATAAAGTAAACTTTTTCGAAACTACAACAAAATTTATTCGTAAAATTGACTTAAATTTTAAATCAGTTGAAAATTTTGAAGGATTTAAGTCAATTTTGTGTCAAATGGTGAATTTGGAGGAACTAAAATTTGAATTAAACGGTAAAGTTGAAGTTAAGCACAATGAGCCATTTGAGTTGCCTCAATTAAAGGTTTTAGATGTGAACCTTAAAGATCTGGAAGTGCTGACCAGGAATATTAAAAACTTAAAGAATTTACACAAATTGACAGTGACTTGCGAATATTTTTACAACAATTTCAATGAAATTTTGCAAACTTTTGTGAATTTATTGCATCAACAAGAAAGTTTAAAGGAACTGAGGATTAATGCCCATGATTATCGACCATTTGTGTTCCCAGATCAGCAAGTTAATGAGTCTATGAAGTTCCAGCTGACAAAGTTGACATTTTATGGCAAATGCACTGGAAGTGAAAATTTCAATAATTTCTTCAAGCCACAAGCTGAAAACTTAAAGGAACTAGTGTTGATGTGTCCGGACGACAATGGAAGTTTAAATGCTAAATTTGGAAATTATAAAAATCTTAAAAAATTGACGCTTGATGCTGCAATTGACTTGAGTGTTCCTGCTGATGAAAATCGTCCCTGGAAGTTGGATTCGGTTAAGATTTTTAAGGTTTTTTATGAATCTCGTTTAATTTACAGGACATATACAGCAGCAAATAGACAAACTAATATAAATGACGTAGTCACAAGATTCCCAAATGTTGAGGAAGTCCACTGCGAAAAAGTCATGAATTCCGATGGCATTTTCGACAAAATCACTAAACTCGACATAAGCTACATTAATTGCTGTGAATTTACCAAGATAAAATTTCCTAACCTTAAAAAATTGACCGTTTCACTTATTTTTGAAATTAAAAGTGAATTAGAATTTAAAAATTTCGCAAAAACCGTTGAAAATGTTAAAATTTTTCGTCTCGGATTTTCCATTAATGAAATTATTTTGAAAAATTTACAACTTTTTAAAAATTTGAAATTATTTTATTTTCATTTTGACAATAATTTGCATCTTTTGATTGATTTTGAGAAGAAAATTGTAAAATTTTGGTCATGTATTGAAATTAAAATTTTAAATGTTTTAATTCTATATTTTGAAGGTTTTAAGCTGCTGGAAATTTACAAAGAAAATGGACACAAAGTTGACAAGCGTTGGGAGTTTTCTGTTGGGCAATCACATCCGTTATTGCAATTTTAATTAAAATTTGATGAAAAATAAAGTTAAAATACAAAAAAAAAATTAAAATAAAAATTGTGTATTTTTAATGAAGTCATCCAGATGCTACTTAATCCTAGTATACCTAGCAGGCGCGTAGCCAGGAGGGTCTTGTCCTCCTCCTAAACGTTTTGAACATCATCGGAAGCACGTCCTAAAACGCTTAAGAGGGGGACAAGACCCTCCTGGCTACGAACCAGATATCTAGCAAAAGAGACACTTTATGTACCAAAGACCTCAAAACCACATCCAACACTCGAATCGAGCTTTGTAACTAGAACGGTAAAAATGGAAAAAGAGCTTTTAAAACTTGACGTGGCCTGTGATTGAACCCAGAAAATTTGGGGCGTAAGGCAAACGTTCTACAACTTAAGCTACTGATGCTAATTCACTGCTTAGCCGTCCCAAAACTAGCCTTTCCATTTTCTACAGCCTAAATCCACTCAACTCCACACTTTTGCTTTTCTTTCCCAAGTCAACTTTGCCTCTACTTCATCCATTCTCCCCTTGAATTGTATTTCAAGTTCAGATTTATTAATTTCGTATATAACAAGCTTGTCCTACAAAACTGAAAAACAAAAATCAGTGATAACAAAAAACGAATGTTACTGACCTAATATTTAAGCATTAAAAAATTATTAAATCAGAAAGGGGCTGTTCAAAAATGACGTCGACCATTTTGGGTTTTTTTGACGCTTCAAACAAAATAAACTTTTATTAATCCAAATTTTATGACAAGTGGTAAGATGGGAGGAATTGGTCTAATAATCTCATTTATAGATGGACGTCATTTACGAACGGTGTCTAAATTGTATGTTCTTGAAGTCAAGAAGAAGAAGAATATGTGGAATTTCCGTATATTACAGCTGATTTCTGAAAATGACGAAATCACAATTTAAATGAGCAACTGCGTGTTGATAACATAAATGATTTTTTCCTTCCTTTAAACTTCTTCTTTACTCACAGTAAATAAGGACACATCAAGGGTGTGGTACTGATGAAATGATCAAAAATGATCAAAAAATGATCAAAAAGGTTCAAAATGTAATTCTTCAGTTCCTAAGCCTTGGAACACATTATGCTTTCTCGCTATCGGGATCGGGATCGGGATTTCCCGGGATTTACCGATCCCGATCAATCCCGGGATCCCGAAATTTATCGGGATCGGGATTGAAAATCCCGGTTTTTTAATTTAGGAAATTATTGATGTTTTAGAACCTGCTAAATACGCGACAGAAGAATTATTGCGTAAATCAGACGATTTATTAATTGCTGAAGGAACAATTAACTTTTTGCTAGACGAATTGTTGCTACAAGGAACATTATTGTCTCAAAAGGTTTACGATATGAATTGCGCTCGCATAGGTGCACGAAGAAATGGAACATTAATTGACTTAATACTTTACCTCAATATATTTCTTTAGACAAGCATTTTAAATCGTCAACAAAAGCTGCAATACATAAACTTGGCATTGACTTATTGAAGAAGTATTTTGTCAAAAACTCTACAAATGGAGCTATGGAAGCTTCAACATCCAGTGCAAATCAAATCCAACCGTCAAACATTTCTATTCGAGATAGACTGAAACTAAGCATATCTGAATATACATCATTAACAACAGATGCAGCAGCAACAGAACCAAATAACTTGAAAAGAGAGTTTAATTGGTATGACAAAAATAAGAAGAGAACCGTTTTATTAGATCAACTTTACGATGCATTGATAACAATGCAGCCGACCTCAACTCAAAGCGAACGAAATTTCTCTATTAGTAACAAAATTCTTACAAAACAAAGAAAACGTTTACTTGACAAGAATCTAAATGCAATTGCATTTGTTAAAAGTTTTTTCATTAATGCTTAATTTTTATTATTATATTCACACCGTTTTCTATAACCTTTTAACTTACATCTTTATCAACATTTATTTTCTATTTTTGTTTATGTTCACATTTTTCAAATGAAACATGGATTAAAACATCTACCTTGTAACACATAAAGTATAACTAATTAATTAAGGAATAAATGACCGTATAAGTAGCAAAAAAATATATAATTTTTTTTGGGAAAAAAAGCAGAAAAATGCTGTTTTTTAAATTTTTTTACATATTCGGGATTCCCGGGATTTCCCGGGAAATCCCGAAAAATTTCAATCCCGATCCCGATCCCGAAAATTTGTCGGGACCGGGATTTCGAGAAAGCATAGAACACATAAGAGAGCGGAATGTAGCCAATAATAATTTTATGCAACTTTGATTTCATGTTTTTATTTCGAAATTTCAGACTGTTAAGTGAAGAAATGCAACAAGGAAGTACAGATCTTTCTGGCTTACAGCGTAAGGCTGATGTGGCGGGTTTTAATTGAGTCTGAGCTAGCGCCAGCCATAAACCAGACTGTTTTCTGCCTTGTCTTTGCCGTGATTAAATCTATAATTGAAAATTAAAGCTTAATTTTGACTATTTTTAAATAAAATAAGAAAAATTTTAATTTACAATTTTAGAAATGTTTAACAATTTTTACTTTCAATTTTATCAGCCGCCTTAGTGATGCCATAACTCCTAGTAAAGTCCTACGCATTCGTTTAGATCCACTTAGAAAATTCCGAATTTCTCATCACTGGAAGATTTTTTTGTAAAACGGTTTTCAGTTTCAAAACAGTTATTAGTAATGGGATTAATTAATAAAATAATTGGAAAACTATCTTTCCTCCTCTCGACATAATCCTTAATTAATTGAAAATTACAACAACAACAAGTCGCATTCGTTTAGATCCACCACAAAGAATTAAATGTTTTATTGGGAAATTCAAAATGTAATGAACCTTTTTAATTTAAATAATATTGCTCTAGTATTAAAGAATATTTTTTTATAAAAATGAACAATATAAAATAATTTTCGGAGAAATGCCAAAATGTTATTACTTAACAGAGACTGAGAAGGCTGTAATCGATCAGCTGCATTCATTAGGCACATCAAATCGGGGAATTGCACGTAGAATTGATAGAAATCATCATTTAATCGGAAAATACTTGAAAAAAGGTTCAAGCTATGGCCAAAAAAAGAAGACAAAAGGAAATTCATAAATTACAAAACGCCAAAAGAATCAGTTGGTGGCTCTTGCATTAGCTAGAAATCATTCATCAAGAGAATTTGTGACTGAACTTGGATTGCCGATCGGTCATAAGCATGTAGCAAAATTATTGAAGCAAACGGGTCATTTGAAATGTACTAAAAAAAATGAAACAACCATCCCTCAAACCTGAGCATGAAACTGCAAGACTACGTTGGGCAGAAAAGTACTTTAATTGGAGTACTGAATGGACGAACGTGGTTTTTTCTGAAGAAAAGAAATTTAATGGATGGTCCAGATGGTTTCTCATGTTACTGGCATGATCTGCATAAGTTTAATTATAGTCGTAACTTTGCTTGAGGATCTCTCATAGTTTGGGCGGCATTTTTTATGTATGGAAAGACGCCTTTGGTCAAAATCTCGACTCGAATGAAGTCCCGGAACTATATTGAAGTGTTGAATGGCATTTTGATACCATTTTCTGCTGATTTCATGGAAAGAGAATTCATTTATCAGCAAGACAATGTAGCAATACATGTGAGCAAGGTATCAAAGGCATGGTTCTCAAGCGTTGAAATCGATTTATTGGATTGGCTATCACGTTCACATGATCTTAACCCGATGGAGAATCTTTCGGGCATACTAGCACGTAACGTTTATAATGGTTGACGTAAGTATTCATCTGTCCAAGAGTTGGAGGTGGCAGTATGGCATTTTTGGCGAGAAATTGTTTTAAAAACGCTCAAAAAATTAGTAAATTCAAAGCCCAACAGACTTTTTAAGCTTGTTAATCGAAATTGAAAGCAAATAAATTATTGAACTTAACTAATCATTCATAAATTAAATAATTCTTTGTGGTGGATCTAAACGAATGCGACTTGTTGTTGTTGTAATTTTCAATTAATTAAGGATTATGTCGAGAGGAGGAAAGATAGTTTTTCAATTATTTTATTAATTAATCCCATTACTAATAACTGTTTTGAAACTGAAAACCGTTTTACAAAAAAATCTTCCAGTGATGAGAAATTCGGAATTTTCTAAGTGGATCTAAACGAATGCGTAGGACTTTACTTGATAACTTGATCACTTGAATCTGCTTTAAGTAGCCAAGACTTCTCAGTTAAAAATTCATCAAGCTCATTAAAATATAAAAATTTAAAAGAATTGAAAGAAAAATATAAAAATTTTAAATGTTCAAAAGTTAATTTTGAATTAAATTTTACAGTTTTTTCCAGCATATTAATCACAAATTCACGTCTACATCCAGCCTGACGTGCAGGAGTTATATAACTAAAGTTAAAAGTTTTCAAACTTTCACAAATGTTCAAATTTTTTAAAATATTCAAAGAATTAAAATCAAAATTAAGCTCAAGTATGTCTCTGGACTTTATGGATATGTGCTGAATTTTTGGGCAGTTTTTTGCAAATATATTGAAGCTGTTTTGAGCTTCACATTTAAAATTTGTTGCTGTCAAATCTGTTAAATTTGGAAACTTTGATGCTTGAAAATCATCAAAATCAAAAAATGTTAAAATTAATTCTTTAATTTTATCAAAAATTCCGTCAGTAAATTTCAATCCTTTACAGTCAATAACTTCAAGATTTGGAAATTGCGTCACTAATCTTTGCAGATTCGTTAAATATCGACGATTTGAATTTTCAAAATATTTTAATTTAAAATGTTGAAAATTATTCAAAAATTTCGGTTCTAAATGCGAAACAATTTTTTTTAAATTTACAAAATTTTCAAATAAAAACTGCAAAGTTTCATCGCTTATATCGGAAGTAATGTAAAGTTCATGTAAATGTTGTGCTTGTCTATTAAGCCAAACTTTAAAAAATGGAGTTTCCAGCTCTAGTGAATGACAATTAATGCTCAGCGACTGTAACTGAATCTTACGACCAATATTAATCCCAGGAAGCTCAAAAACATCATATTCGTCAAAATTAAACCACAAGTTTTTTAAACTTTTTTGGCGGGAAATAAATTCGACAAGATTTTTCAAGTCTGCAGCATCAAAATCATCGTAAATTGTGCATCTTATTGAGAATGTCGTCAAATTTTTGATTCCTTTAGTGATTGATGTGAATGGCTTTAAAGATTCGATGTCTGTCCTTAAAATCTTCAATTTTGGCAGCTCGATTGATGACATTTTCTTGACTGTGCCTTGTTGTCTTCGACTGGTTGAGAATCTCAGCTCCTTCAAGTTTTTAGTTTTTCTAAGAATTAAGAAACCAATTCTTAGTGAATTTTTATGCGAGATGTTCAGATGCAGACTTTGGATGTCTTCCGCATTGGCATTAATTAAACTGAATATTTCAAAATGATTGACATTATAAATGTGGCCTTTAATGACAATTTTCTTCATTATTTCTGGTGTTTTGAACATCAATTGTCTGACTTCTTTACATAGCAGCATGCAGTTTCTCAGATCCCTGATGTCACTCAATTGTGAAATTATTTTGAGAATCAACTCGGTTGGAAGATTTAAGCAATCCATTTTTTCACTAATTTTATATTTTTATTACACAAATTAACTCCACAGTCGCCTTATAAGTTATGTGTGCCTTATCAGTATGTTCTATACAGAATAATGAGGCAAACGTGATTTATTTCAGAAAATAGATGCGAAAGTGAGTGGCTGTTCACATTTGATGTCAAACATTAATGGAAAGGGGTGTTGGGATGCTAGATCCCGCTATAAACTGTAGGTCTAGAGGGTGTGGTAGAATCGATTCTGTTCTAATTTGAATCGCAGTGCCTCCAGCTGAAAGGCTGGGTCCTTCACACATTATTATTATTGGGATGCTAGATTTGCTATATCATAATTTCTTATGTGTCTAAGTGTCACGAAGTGGGTTGGAGTCCGAGCGAAAAAAAATTAATGTTGATATAGTGGACATGGACAGCCAGTTCTAACACCAATACATCGCCATCATGAGAGCACTAGTGCTTAGCCAGGATTTATTTTAATTTTTTTTACAAAAACCCTAGAAAAAAGAAGAATTTTCTGATGTCGAAGGAGTATTTGTCCCCCAAATCCCCCCCTAGCTCTTGCGCCCGTGGCAACATAATTTTTTTGTCGCTTGGAAAGATGAGTTGGGGGATAAAGGAAGTGAGTAAATGGAGAGGGGGAGGTAATAGGTTGGAGAGGGAGTCAAGGAAGAAAGTGGCAAAAAGAGAATGGAGGGAGCAGAGAGATTAAATAAGGGGGAAGTAAAGAAGTGGGGAGTGGTTAATGGGCGAGTAGTCAAAAAGGGGAGAAATAAAGGGGGGGGATTTTTATTTTTTACTGAATTTATAAGGGTTCGTTAACTCATTACGTAACTTATAACAAAGTTTGCACGAAAAAAACAGCTGATTATGTCCAGGCTCATTCATACCTAAAGTTACAAACTTCGGAACAAGAAGAACAAGTTCGGAACAAGAATTGATGGACAACCAGGGGCGTAGCTAAGAATTTAAAGAGGGAGGACAAAAAACATTTGTATTGAAAAATTTAAGGAAGGGGGGGGGGGGGTGTTGGGATTTTTCATAAAAACCCTAGAAAAATAAGGAAATTTCTGTTTACGTTGGGGGATTTGCCCCCCCCCCCACTGGCTACGCGCCTGTGGACAACATAAAACTGAGCATAGTGATGCTTATAAGACATTTTGATGCGAATTGGTTTTCCAATTATGCTTGGAACAAACTGAAGAGATTTTCATCAATTTTCTGTCAATCGTTTCCGAATCTTAAAATAATTCAAATAAATGATGCATAGCTGGAATCAATTGATGAAGATTTGCTGTCGAATTGCAAAGAATTAGAACTTTGTCTGTTTTTAATTGAACCAAATTCAGCTTTTTATTCAAACTTACTTGCTGGTTACTTAAACTTTTAAAAGTTAAATTTAAAGAAATTTTTTAAAGTTTATAAAAAATGTATAAAATAAATCAAATTTTGCTCACTTAAGATAACCAAGCTGACAATCTTTAAAACTAAATATAACAAATTTAAAAGATTTAAAATTAAATTCCAAAAACCTTTCAAAAATAGGATCCAAATCTGAACTTATTTTAACAATTTTTGTCATAAAATTAATTCGACATTTTTTCCATTCATATTCTGTCGGCTTAATTCTCAAAAAGTCAATGTGAAAAGTTTCTAAATTTTCCAAATCATTCAATTTTATCATAAAATTAAATGACTCAACTTGAAGACGTCCGCCAAATTGAAAATCCATGAAAATTTTCTCAATTTTTGGCGCATTTTTTAAAAAACTTTCAAAATTTTTCTCTAAAATTACTGTCGTGGTTTTAACAGTAAAAACTCTCAAATTTGGAAGTTTAATGTGACACAAATTTGTAAAATTTGAATAATTTAAATCCAAAATTGTTATTTTATCAAAAATTTGATCGCAACTCAGCAAATCGCCGCACTTTAAATGCTCAATATTTGGAAATCTTTCGACAAGTTTAAACAAATTGATTTTATCGCCCATAAAGCTATTCGATAAATCCTCAAAATACATTAGCGACCTCAACTCCCAATGTGGACATTTTTCAGAAAATATTGAATTATTTTTTTGTATGAATAATTTTAAATTTTTTAAATTATAAAAATTTTCAAATAAAATTTCCAAAAAATCGTCATTTGGACAATTTTCAAGAATTAAATTTTTTAAATATTTTCCTTGGATTTTAAGGAAGCTGTCAAGCATTGGATTTACTGTATTTTTAATTCTACTGATGCTTAATGTTGTCAATTTGAATTTTAAATCCTCGCTGATGTCTCGATGTGGAAAGTCCACTGGACAATTATCGTCAAATTTTAAATTCAACTTTTTTAAAACTTTTTGTTGGCTTAAAAATTTGACGAAATTTTCACAATGCTCGTTTGACATATTTCGGTTGTTTCCATAAGAAATTGTGCAATTGACCAAATTTTTATTATTTTTGACATTTGGCATGAGCAGCAAAAATGACTCCAAGTCAGTCTCTAATGACTTTAACTTTGGTAAATTGATGATTAAATTTTCGTCAACTTTATAGTTTGCATCCCTGTCACTTGCGTAGCTGTAAAGTTTCATTGTAACTTCCTCTAAATTCCTCATGTCACTTAAGATTGATCTGAGCTTCAAGCATGCATTTGTAGCATAAATTGTCATCCTAAGGCATCGAATCGATGTCGCATTAGCTTCAAGAAACTTTAAAATTTCGACTGTATCTTCAGAATCATCTTCAGCAATGTCCACATTTATAAGAATATTTCTCATAATTTCTGGTGTCTTAAACATCAAATCGTGAATTTCTTTTGATATTTCCATGCAGTTCTTTAAGTCATCGATGGAAGTCAATTTTGAGATTATTTCAAGGACTAGCTCATGTGGAAGTAAAGGAATCTGTGAGGGAAAATAATAATCAGAATGATTTTCACCAAATTTCTAATAATCCAGGAAAGCAAACGGAACCAAAAAGTTCAAAAATAAAACTTGTAGCTATGTTGACGTGAAGCTGGCATGAAGCATGAAATAATGCTCAGGAGATAAACTGTTATTAAATCCAGTAAGTAGCTCTTGACTTAATGTTATTAAAAATCTAATTAGAAGTCGTTCGTAAATTACGTCACGCTATAGGAGGGAGGGGGAGTGGTTGAATTTGTGACAATGTGAACAAAAAAGTGTTTTTTTTTGCTACAAGTGACAAAAGTTAGGAGGAGGCCTAACCAGTAAGGTCTGGGCACCACATAAAAAAATTGAAGCTAAGCTAGCGCACAATGAGTACCAAGACCCTTCTGAATACACCTTTATGAAGAGAGGGTCGAAAAAGTTGTTTTTAAATTGTGGAATGGAACCGAAAAAAATTAAAAATATTTTATTAATGCATTTTTATGACAAAGGGGAAGGGGGGTTCAAAAAAATTAGTTTTTTGCGTGACGTCATTTGCGAACGACCCTTTAAAGAATTCCCAACTTTTACATATTTTTTTTTGCATCAAGGGTTCCACTGAGAACCCTTGAAGCAAATTTCCTATTGACAAATTTGAAACTTTTATGCTTAAAAACTGCTAAAAGGCTTTTTCTGATTTCCTGGGTCTTAATTTTTTATGTCACTTACCTTTGCCATGTTTTGTTGGATCTTCTTGTGTAATTTTATTATGATAATTTGATTTATTCCACTTTTTAACTCCAACTTATGTAGCAATTCACATAAATGAACTTATCAAACCGAACATAAAACAGTAAATAAACAATATGACACATACTGGTCACATCAGGGGTGTAGCTAGGAGCCCCCACTTTTTGAAAAAATCCTTCAATTTGCCAAGGAGGTTAGAGAAAAATAATAAAACATTTCAAAACCCCCCTTAAAGATATTTCCGAATACTTCCTTAGGGTCACACACAGGGACTTATTCAGATAGGCTTGGTCATGGATACAAAATAAATTTTCAAAAACCTAAAATAATTTCAATTCCTATTTTTTTTTTACCGAAAGTTTAAAATTTTGAAAAATTCCGAAAACTCAAAGCACTCCCTCACAAACTGCCTAGATCCATCCCAATTAACAGAAGCAGAGAATGAAGAAATTTTTGTTTTTGTCGTCAATCGCTTTACGATTGTTATTTGTTGCATACAATTTCATTATTAAGTCACAACGCGTAATCAGCTGCTGAATACAAATGCTACTTATTTGTTTGAATATTAAAGAGTCAGTTTAATTGAGAGATTTGAGGGTGCGTGGAGCTTGAAATCATATTTTTTTTTGTAGACTATGTTAAAGTTTGTTTGAGCAGTCCATGAAGAAAGGTTACTTTCGCTAAATCTTACACAATTTGTCCCTTTAATACAATTGTGATCAACCTTTTTTGACACATGACACACTTTGAGAGTAAATCATGATTGAATTCGCACACATCATAAGGTTTGTGGGATTTCTTGAAATTTTTCGCAGCACATTTGTTTGACGCGTTACATGGGTTGGCCATAACTGGTCGAAAACGTATCCATATGGCACAAACCATAAATCCAGCACCACACCGGTGTGACTCTGACATGGTACCCCAAATGCACAAGTCGGTTAATCAAATAGATATTCGACGTAAAGCCAGTATGACCTTGACATGGTTCTGGCTTCGATTTAAATCCAGCACCATGCCAGAATCACATCAGCTTGGTGCCGGATTAATGATCGATTATTCAACTTGAGAGTGGTTCGGATCCAAATATAAATTATAGGCATAGATTTGAGTGCAGTGGTTTGGTGCATCCTAACTCGTGAAACTCTCATTAACTACGAAACGCCCTAGAGCACCTCTGGATCACAGTTGATCTAAATAGGTAAAGGTTTTTTTTTTATCCGACTTGAGTAATTTGCTTACTGGATTTAAATCAAAGCCAACACCATGCGAGAATCATGCGCCGGATTTCTATTCGATTAACCGACTTGTGCTATTTGGGGTAACATGCTAAAGGAATACCGTTCAGTGAAAGCCCACAATAAGAATAGATAAATCGGACTTAGAATATAAATTTGTCAATGAATCTTGAACAACTTGCTAAGAATGAATTAAAATGTAATCTTTTGTGGTCAGTAAAATTTGCATAACTCCGTTAAGCATTTCTATAATTTCCGTACATTCTTAAAGACCTTTAAGAGCCTCAATTCAATGAATTGACTTTATTTTCGCATTAATTAGCCTATTTTTTGTTGTTCTTGAGATATCAAGCTATGATTTGGTCATCCTAAGCTAACCCTGACTCTAAACAACTCCATTTGATCATCAGCAATCAATCTCGATTGTTCATCTCCAAAAAAAACTTAATTTTCATCCAAAAACCATCACAAAATGAGCGTAAAATCAATTCTTCATCATCATCTAATGTCTCTTTTTTTATAAGATCATCCAAAATTATTTCATTTTTTTCTTCTTTTCATTCTCGACATTCAAAAAAAAGTCTTCCAAAAAAAATCTTAACAATAAATCAGAATTAAAAGAAAAGAAGAAGAAATGAAAAAAAAAGTCTTCAATTTTTTTTGAGATCTTCATCAATTTTTATTACATTTTAACAATAATCGAGCACAAAAAGAAGACATTTCGTGTCCATTCTGAGATTCTTATACCTGGAATTTGAAATTGGAAACGTATAAAGGCGTGGATACCTCAAAAAATAGATTCTGTGGATATTTATGACCCCCACAGAAAAAAATGGTGTGGCTTGATGGACTGTTGGAAACGATGAGCTTAAATGCTTTATTCTTTAAACTTAACGTTGATGAGAATTTCTTTCCATTTAAAGCTTATGAGATTAATGTGAAATTGGAACTGGGATAAGCTTTCGTGGATTTTAGATTGGTTTTGTGGGTTTTAATGACTTAATTATTGTCGCGATATTTTTTGCTATTTTTTTTGACAAAATTATAGAAATGTGGAGATAGAATTAAGTTTTTTTAAAGGTGTTTATTTGGTAAAATTGGATTAAAATACCAATTCTGACCAAGATGAGCAAATTAATAACTCGACCTGAGATGACGAAATTCTTAGCTCGACCTGAGATGACCAATTTCTCAACTTGACCTGAGATGACCAAATGTTTAGCTCAGCCTGAGATGATAAAATTCTCAGCTTGACCTGAGATGACCAAATTCTTAGCTCAACCTGAGATGACCAAATGCTTAGCTCTACCTAAGAGGATCAAATTCTTAGCTCAACCTGAGATGACCAAATTCTCAGTTCGACCTGAGATTATCAAATTCTTAACTCTACCTGAGATGACAAAAATCTTAGCTCAACCTGAGATGACCCAATTCTCAGTTTGACCTGAGATGATCAAATTGTCAGTTCGACATTAGATAATCAAATACTTAGCTCTGATCTGAGATGGCCAAATTCTCAGCTCAACCTAAGATGACCAAATTCTTAGCTCATCCTGAGATGACAAAATTCTTAGCTCAACCTGTGAAGACAAAATTCTTAGCTCGATCTGAGATGATAAAATTCTTAACTCCACCTGAAATGATCAAATTCTTAGCTCAACCTGAGATGACAAAATTCTTAGCTCAACCTAAGATGACCAATTTCTCAACTCAACCTGAGTTGACCAAATGCTAAGCTCAACCTTAGATGACCAAATTCTTAGCTCAACCAGAGATGATCAAATTGTAGCATTGATCTGAGATTGCCAAATGTAAATGAATCTCAACCTCAACTTCAACTTCATAACCAGATTAATCATTAAAACCTCATAAATTCATGTCAAAAGTAAAAAGACTCCTAACAAGACTCATTCAATTAATCACACAAAAAATATAGCAAAAAAAAAATCTTCTTATTTGCCACACAAAAACTAAAAATCCTACACACAAGAAAAATGTATTCACCTTTGCATATCGCAGCTGTCATTGCCGTTAATTCATTTCATCTAATCGCATTTTCGTTTCGTCGAGTTTGAAGAAGCAGAAGGAACCAACGACATAATGTTTTAATTTCACTTTTCATATTTTTTTTGTGTTGCCATTTTCATCGCCATCAAAATTAAATTTATTCAAAATAATAAAAAATCGTCGTCTCAATTCGCATCATCGCGTAAAATGTCATTAAAATTTAGGTGAACCATCTGGCAAATGTGTCGCACAGAAGACGTTTCTTGTTGTTCTTCTTGACTTCTTTACGGCTTTAATTCGGGCTCTGTGTCGTAGGAAAGTAAACAATGTGTGAAATTTAATTATAATTTTTTTCAATCTACACATTCGTGCAGTTCTGACTCGCTGCTTGTCATACGGATGCCCGATGTGGCTGTGTGTTGTCGTTTCTTGTAAAAATAAATTTTAGATCTTTTTTTCCTCATCTTATAAAACTCGATGTCGTATTTTTAAGCATTGTTTTTAAGGTTTCGAAGGATTTTTGGTGTCAGTTTGACATTTAAGTTGATATTTTTCCAAGAGGATGAAACTTTTTTCCGAGAGGATTAAACCTTATGCCGAGTGGATTGAACCCGTTTCTCAGATTTTTACCATCCTGAAAGATTCTTTTACCAAGAAGATGGATTTTTTTACCGAGAGGGTCGAATTTTTACCGAGAGGAGAGAAAATTTTATTGAAGGGGAACGAATTATTTGCCGAGTTGATTAATATTTAGTCAAGAAGATTAAATTATTTACCGAGATGATTGAACTATTTGCCTAGGGGATCAAACTCTTGTATCGCACCTTCTACTTCATATTCATAAATCTAGCTTTCAACTCAAATAATCCCATCAAATCTACATTCAAAACCATTTCATCTCAATCCCATCACGAATCCTCTTTCCATTCTCAAACTGCGCCCAAAAAACAACTCATCATAATCAACTTCCACTTCCACAATTCTTTTTTTTTATGATTCTGATCGAGTTTTTTTTTACGATTTCATTTAATATAATTTTTTTCGGGAATCTCTCTTTCTATCTTTGCGCGCACATATGTGTCTCTTTGTGGGTGGTCTCGAGAGCTCTACGAGATCGTTTTCTTCTTCTTTTTTTTCTTACTTCTCATTTCATTTCAATTTTTTATTTTATCTCAATCTCTCATGCCTTATGTCTCTTATAATATATTAATGAGTTTGGGAAATAGGATGAGTGTGGTTGGTGATTGGAGCGCTTTTTTGGTATGTTTTTTTGTGAATCTTAGTTGATGTAACTCAATTTTATTAGAGGCTTTAGTTCAGCTCGACCCAAAGCGATCTGACTCAGCTTGACTCAAGATGACTCAGCTCGACTTGAGAGGTTTTAACTCAGCTCGACCTGAGAGGTTTTAACTCAGCTCGACCCAAGATGACTTAACTCAGCTCGACCCGAAAGGATTTGACTCAGCTCGACCCAAGTGGATCTAACTCATCTCAACCTAAGATGACCTAACGCAGCTCGATCCAAGATGACCTAACACAGCGTTACCCGAGAGGATCAAACTTAGCTGGGTTCAAGAAGATCTAATTCTACTCGACCCGAAAGAAAGAAACCTCAAAGAATCTACCAATACTGACAAAATGCAATCTTCTCCCCAATGTCAAAAATTCCAGCTTAATCCATACGAATCATGTATGTACATCTGTGTCTCTTTACGATCCCGGGTCATCATAACTCTCAATTCAATTCAATTTCTTTTAATTTTTTTCCATGTTCTTCTCCGTACCAAGAAAAAAAGACGTTTAAATTAAAAACGATTGAGGAACAACAATGAAATTGAATTGATGGACATGATGAACATACAAAATGCA